CCCCCCATAATGTTTTCGTTGTCTATGGTGTCCATGTCTTGTCAAAGGAAAGCAGGCGACTGGTCTTTCCCAGAACTTCCGGGATCGCCCTTCTGTCTGTCTGTGTGTGTAGACACGGTGAAGTGCGCGTCTGTGTGCAGGAGCAGGAGGACGATGGCGGAAGCTGCGGCGTGGTGAAGGGCCCCCCGGCCGTGTACTGCTACATCTGCGGCAAGATGTTCGGCACGCGCTCCATAGCGATCCACGAGCCGCAGTGCCTCGAGAAGTGGCGGCTGGAGAACGCGAAGCTGCCGCCACACCAGCGGCGCTCCGAGCCCGTCAGGCCGCAGACACGTGAGTCTCTCTTGCTTCCCCCTTCTTTCCACCCCCTCCAGTCTTCATATTCTCTTCCCTCTTCCTTGCTTTATTCCTTCCTGCATTTTATTGTGTTTTCTTACTTCCTCTTTTCCTGCTGGTCTGTCCTACTCACGAGATTTCTCTTGTTTGGTAATTTTCGCATTTTTTTTTTCTCCTTCCAAACTGGTCCCTGTAGCAGCAACTCTCAAGTCTTTTATTCCTGCGGTCCTCAGTTCGAAACTCGGCCGTGACATCGTCTCTCCTTACTGAGGTCTGTCGTAATTTTCCTGTCTCCCCAAGTAATTGTCAATACCTCGGTCAGGACACCAACGCTTCCTTCTAAATCTCTTCCCATCCACCATTCGACTCCGCACAATATGGACACGGCGAACGCCGTGAAATAAGTCGCTCACCCTTACAACAATTTTGCACTCAGTTTCCCCTGGTTTCTTACACTCCCCATTTGAATTTATTTATCGTACATTCCTTACTTTACTTCCTCGACCCTCCTATTTCTTCGTTCCTTCTTTGTTTCCCTTTCCTATATATTTCTTTCTTCCCTTTGTCTCTACTGTTCGTTTACTATATGAGGTATGCAGCTGGGCTCCTTACATGGGGATCAGCTCTGTCTACACTGAAGTGCTTGCATACAACCACGACCCGAGCGGGATATAAATTCGCTCTCTGACTGGGTCAGCGGTTCAAGGCCGCGACGTTCCTGGACCTGTAGGGCCATATGCTTCGGAAGCTCCCCACGCCAGTAAGTGGCGCCACTTGTCAGCTGGTTTGTAGCACGTCACGTGACTTGCAATTGTTTGTTGTCTCATGCTAACTGGGCTCTAATTACGAATATCCCCCCTTCTTGTGTCACGAGGTCTACACAGTCTCTATCCAAAGGATGTCCGGGACTCTTTCCCTGCAGACAAAGCGGCCGGAGTGTAAAGCTGAACACTCACTTCCATGCAGTGCCGAGGTTAAGAGTACATAGAGCTATACCACTCCTCCCCCTGTGCTTAATTAAGCACAGGGACAACTTTATCTCATCTTAGGTGAAGGTAAAGGCGTGTAAGACTGATGACTTCACCGCCATCTGTGAGCCGATTCTCTAGAAACTGTAGCAGCCTCGACGTCTCACAGTCCTATGGGCCTCCATGCCCTGTTATAGGGATAGCTTTATCATACTTGACCTTACCTTTCGTTTTAGGTAAAGGTAAAACTTCTTGAGCGTGAAAGTGACCACTCATCTCCATCCAGATGACAAGATTGTCTACAGCTATTACTCCACTCCCCCATACACCCTCACGGTGTGGTGCTCATTAAGCACAGGGACAGTTTCAACTTATTGTAGGTAAAAGTAAAAGTAAATCGGCTGGAGCGTTAAAGTAAACACAAAAGTGGTACAAACCTCACGTGTTACTTTCCCATGATTCAGCTTATATACTTTGTTACAAGTCTGACAAATAACTGAAAGTCTGTGACGTCATAGACCTCGCTCTCCACGGTTACTTGGATGGCAGGGTGTGATTTTTGTGATAGAGCTCAGACTAGTGTCACTGTGTGTCTGTGTGTGTGTGTGTCCACTGCACGCTCCTCAAGGTCTGACCACGGCACGCACCCAGGCAGTTCCGGGCCCTGAGCACCCTTCTGAAACACCGAAAGACCCAAAGCTGGCCGCAGCCCCCCACGTCATGGACTGCTACCTGTGTGGCCGTGAGTTCGACACCCGCGTCCTCAACAGACACGAAGACGAGTGCATCAAGCATTGGAGGAAATGGAACAACAGCCTGCCCATAGATCAGAGGCAGCCGGAGCCTCAGAGGCCGGAGTTCAAGTTCAATAAAGGTCATTCATAAATCTTTATGTATACCTGCTTTCGAGGGGTTGAGCCCAAAGACTTTTCTCTTCACGCTTCTAGACTTATATTCTTGTCAGGACTCTTGCTTGGACTCCAAATATATAATCCGACATTTTTGACGTGGCTTGTGAGTTGCGCATGAGGAGAAATGTAGCTGGCATAGCGGGGGGGAGGGTATAGTAGTAGAAGTTATGTTGTAAGGTACTGATTGCATGACGTAGGGGATCAAGGGCTCTTGACGTCTGTTTGATTGCTACAGTGCTCCTTCACTTCCTACTTTGTGTCAGTTGCCTCCACCAGCCACGTCTGCAAAACAGGACTGTATGTAGACTCATATATTCACACTGCACTCACTCTTGCCTGTGACGTAACAGATGCATGGTCCTGTGGCCAGGAACTCCACAGATTTCAGAATGAACTTAGTTTGCTAGTCTCTGAAAGCTCTCTGCATGTTTGCTTGGCTTATTCTTCTGTTCTGAAGATGGATGCAGTAATTCCCTCCAAAACGTCTATAAACTTCTACATGGCTACATAATATCACATCCCAGAATACAAGTACGTGTAGTGCTTTTCTGAGGGTTAGTTCATTTCTCAATTATTTGGTTACGTAGCTTGAGCACTAATTTAACTTACTACTTACTTTGTTTTGCCACGATAGCTCAGTCGGTATAGCGACTGCCTACGGACTACATCGATGGGTCGGAATGCGAGTCCCGGTAGGGTCAAGAATTTTCTATTCTCCAAGTCGTCCAGACCGGCTCTGGGGTTCACCCAACCTCCTATCCAATGGGTATCGAGGGACCTTTCCCAGGGGTTTAAAGCGGCTGGGGCGTAAAACTGACCACTCACCTCCGACGTCAGGAAAACGTGGATCTATACATCTACTCCCCCCATACGCCTTCATGGCATAGTGCTTAATTGGTTAGGCAAAGAGACAACTTTAACTTTCAGCTTTACCTACTTCATTAATCAGTAAAAATAAAAAAGTAAAGGTATCCCTGTAACAGGCCGTGGAGGCCCATAGGGTTTTGAGACATCGAGGTTCCCAAAACAAAAAGGGAACATAAAGGGGAGAAGAGTAAGAAGATATTAGTGAAAACTATAAAAACTCCAAGACGAAATGCGGTATGTAGGTGAGGATGACTGCTCTACCAGACAACACGGCGTCACTTCCCAGAATACTGTAGTCTTCACATCGGATTAGAGACTACATGCAGTGAAGTCTTCTCAGGCAGGCAGTGATGTAAGGACGAAATGGAATTAGAATATTTAGGGAACAATTTTGATTGTTTCCGTCATTCGGAACTGATGCAGCAAACTGCAATTAAAATAAATGATTTCCAGTCCATCCTTACACGGTTGGTTGTTAGAGAAAACATCATTGCATTCGAGCACGTTATTACGTTCGATACTGCACTGTCAACGTCGGTTTTTTGTTTTTTTTTTCAACGACCGCGGTTCCCCTAAACCCCAGTTTCCCATACGTTTTCGGTCTCATCTAACGCGATATTTTTAGGAGCGTGTGTTCATGCCATCTCTCTGTTGCAGCGACAGGCAATATGGACTACAACGAGACGATGGAGGCCATCTGGCAGGAGCACCTGAAGTCACTCGTGCCCTGCAGTTTGGGTTGCGGACGCACCTTCAACCCAGACCGCGTCGCTGTGCATGAGCGCGGCTGCAAGGGCCCGAAGAAATAGACGCTCTCCTTTCTTCATATGAACTGATAATATATTTTTATTTCTATGTAATGTGATTTGTTGAAGTTGGATAATAAATAACGTTCAATTATGGCCGTGAAGTTTCATCTGTTGTAATAATTCTACCACAAAATTGCACTCATAACGAAAGTATCCGTTTACATGTGTCTCTTATGTGTACTGCACGAACACTTTCATAATATTTTCATGGTAACTTATAATTTATATTCTTGAAAACGCCACGGACAGTTAGTTTGAGCTGTTCAGAGATGGCGGCTCACAGTTTTTGTTAAAACACCAAACGGGACAGAGGAGGAAGCTGCTTTGAAAGGTACTAGAGGAATGGCTCGTCTACGCGGTTCCGCGAGATGAAACTGAACCGCCCTGCCTTCGTGTCAATAAACCGTACGAGAGTGGGACACATCAGTCTCAAAGCAAGCCTAAACAGATTTAACTTTGTGAGCACGGCCGAAGGCGAATGTGCTGATGGGCTGCAAACGGAGGAACATATCTTCTGGGGCTGTGAACTGTAGGAGGACCAACGGGCAACAGTGATGGAAATTCTATCTGAGAACAGCAAAAAAGAGTACCCAAACTCGGTTATAGAGCTCTTAAGGCTAGAAGAGAAAAGATTTGTGCAAGGCGTCTGTTACTTCATAAACAACACTCCTATACTTAGTTAAAATAGATATGTAAGAAAATAAAAATAAGTAAATGTACAAAATAATTACAGTATACTCTCAGATTTAAGTTAAGATACTTATTGTAATGTGTTTTGTCTACTGTGGACGCCGTTCGGATTGTTAATTGGTTTTATTAACAACCTACAGGTCTTAAGTACAATTAATTATAACACTGAATTACACACTCCCAATACCCAATGCCTTCTCAGTTATCGAACTATCTCTGATTATTACACATAAAATCTTCTAATCACGCGTTCAGTTCTTCCTCCCGCGGCTGCTTGCTTCACTGTTGCATGACGCCGTGTTGCTTGGCAACGCTGCCGAGAGTTGTTTACTGCTGCGTAGCAACCAGCGCGGTTCGGTTCGGCTCGGCACGCAACAAAGAAACACGGCTTTCCTTACTGTTGCGTAACTTGGCAACCGACCGTTTATCAAGAGTCTGTTTTCGCGGTAACTCGTTCCACATCCCGTTGCCCAACAACGGTTTGACATGTCACAATATTAGGAATCGCGGGGAGGCCGCTATGATAGAATAAGATGTTTGTAGGAATGTGCTACAGAGGGCCGGATGGGCATTGCCTAGGTTGTTTTTGTACTTACAACGATTTTTCACAATAAAAAAGGCTCAATAACACCGGAAAAAACCTGACACTGAAGTCTCGGAACACAAAATCTGAGTTTCCCCAATAGTTTCTTCCATCTATCCTCTCAAGACAGTCGGCTGACTTATCCATTTGCACTAAACCAAATCTTTCAGTACAGAACTCACACACTCACGCATGAAGCTGAGCCCTTCTTTAGAAGCTGCCAATGGTGCAGCCACTCAAGAACTTCCCAGCATTTTATGGAATCACAAGGTTCATTACCAGTTTCACAAGAGCCCTCCAGCGGTCCCTACCCTGAGCCAGATCAATCGAATCGATCGAATCTATCCTAGCTCCGTATATAAGAAAAAACCAAATTAAATGAGGATCGTGTTCTGCTATAAAGTCGGCTAGAATCCTGCATGAAATTAGTTTTTGTGACTGTTGTTTTTATAGTTCTTCCTTCCCTAATATTATAATTTCATGTTAACAACCACAGCTTCCTAAACAGCCTACTCCTCATCCCTCAACTGGTAAATTTGTCTTCGGATTCTTCCAAGCATACTGTTGATACTAAAATCATAATCTCTGTAGATCAAACGGTCAAGAAACTAAAGTTTAATATTAGTTTCCGAGAAAGTTTGCCGTTGGGTCTCAATAATTGACGAACTGGGAGGAATAAAAATTTACTCTATTATTAGCAAATGGTTAGACAATAGTAATTTCTTAATAAGAACGGCGTTAAAATTAATTATTGCCGCTTGCTTTTCATAAAAAAATATTGTGAAATGATGGTTAAAGGCTAGAATAGTGGAGCCAGAAGGGGCGATTGTTGCCAGGCAACAAAACGATAAACTGGTTTCCGCAGCAACAGTAGTGAAAAACGATGTTTTCTGTGAGGTCTTCCCCGAGGCTATATAACCTGCCTTGACTTGCATCTGACATTAAATCTGGAAGGCCAGTGAAGACATAAAGTGAGAAGAATTAGCGTGTGCTGAATAAGTAGAAAACCCCAGTACATCTGAGAACTATATATTTAGTTCGTGAGACAAACACCGTAGCGCCAAGCTCAAGGCAGAGACGAGTGTCTAGTCCAACGTGCTTGTCTCTCTGACGCTGTTCAATTCGTGGCATTCGTCCTTTTGCAGGGAGTCAGCCATTGTTAGTGCATCGAATATTGTGTTGGTAAAAGGAATCGAGCAACATCCAAAATGGTAAGCCGTAGAGTACATATTTCTGTGATTATTTTTGAAGAATGGATTGCAGTTTACCATTGTGTTTGGTTGTTTGTTATTATTATATGTTAGTATTTCTGTTTTATGAGTGAAATGATCAGGTTGCGAAACGGATTGTAAGCTTTAAAATGTCAGACGCGTTTTTGTTCTCTATAAAAGGGCTTAAATATTTTTTGTGCTTGCAGTGGATGCTTCAAAGCATTAATGAATACATACTTTTTCATTTGAATAGTGCATGTTTGTAGTGATATTTCACGCAGCCTTGAAAACGAGTCAAGACTTGGGTTGGCAAAGTTTGCTTCCATGTCTTGCCACATGGAGTTCAGTATTCTCTTGCAGCATGCAAATGGCCAGTTGATGAATTGTAATGCTGTTTAAATTACAGAGTTTGATAGGAATCGAACTGGGCTTTGGAAATGGTGAGCTTTTAAAAACCGAAGTTGGAAAAATTAACGCGAGTGGTGGTTATGGTACTACCTAAATTTTATAAAGGTTTACGGTTACCATATGTTATAGATAATATTACGTCATAATTATTAATATTAGATGAAAGGTGCAGTGTTTAGGTTCATTGCTCACATGTTTAATTGGTGTTAGGTGTTTTAAGTGAAGTAGCATTTCTTTTGTTTCCAGTACTATCAATTTTGTGTTCAGAGTTGTATGTAGGTGTGCACTCAACTTCTAGGTGAACTTCACTGTAGATGAGATCCGTGTTATGATGGACAAAAAGAGGAATATCCGGAATATGTCCGTGATAGCTCATGTTGATCATGGAAAGTCTACACTGACCGACTCCCTGGTGTCCAAGGCTGGAATTATTGCCAGCGCTAAAGCAGGAGAAACCCGCTTCACAGATACGCGGAAGGATGAGCAGGAACGCTGCATCACTATCAAGTCAACGTGAGTTCTTTCCCTTATTGGTGACACTTAAACTCTTCCAGCACATACAAGTGCCATATTGCAGTCTGTTGGCATGGCTTGCTTTGCCGCAGACTTTGACAGTGGTGGCAGTGCATGTGGAAGGAGAGGAAATGCAAATACATCGACACGCTACTGCAGGACCGCTATCTTTATGTCCAGGTGTAGTAGTGAAGGTGTGGATTGCAACATGCAGTTGAGTTTTTTTGTACACTTCTGGTTAAGTGAGGCACTGATTTTGCCACTGCCCATGGTGTTAGGCAGTATATTCAGGATTGAGATTTAACCAAGCGTGTAATTTCAGACATTTCCAAAGTAACTTTGTGTCTATTTAATGTGTTACTGGCTGTTTAATTGCATTGGTCATACTATAGTTCCTGTCTATTTAATGTGTTACTGGCTGTTTAATTGCATTGGTCATACTATAGTTCCTGTGAGTGGCAGACTTGCTCTTACTGTACTGATAGTAATAAATTATTAGAATCATATACATTCCCCCCCCCCCATGCAAAATGAGAAATTTGGTAAATGTAGCTTGGGAATGGTTAATATATCACTGGGATACAAACAGTTAACGTTTGTAAACTAGTAGCGCAGTATAGAACCTCTTTATTTGACCGTCACAACACAGCAAATATAGAACTTCAAGGATATATATGCATCTAGCTTGACAAGCGATTATAATTTTAATTTCATGCATCCTGCCGTGTTACAATATATACAACCTCTTTATTTGACCGTCACAACACAGTGTTTTTGTGTTGATTTCCGTTATGTTGCTTGCTAATTCTGTTCTCAATATTAACAACAGAAGAAATATTGCTTGCAGTTGACTAACTGAAACCCACAAGTAGGATATTTTAGCAATTGTGAGTGCAGATTTTCGTTTAAAGTCTTAATTCTGTTTGCAAGAGACAGTCTGTAGTTTTTGCTTGCTTTGCCATTGAAGTATTGAAATTGATATACAGTGCTCTAAATGTATCTCACTGCTTGCAGAGCCATCTCCATGTTCTTTGAACTGGAAGACAGGGATCTGGTATTCATCACAAACCCTGACCAACGTGACAAGGGAGAAAAAGGGTTTTTGATTAATTTGATTGATTCTCCGGGGCATGTGGACTTCTCCAGCGAGGTGACAGCTGCCCTCCGTGTGACTGATGGAGCTCTTGTCGTCGTAGATTGCGTATCAGGTAGGTGATTTGGTTGTATTAGCCAGCAGTCTGTATTTAATAAATGAACCTGAAGTTTTTTTTTAACAAATTTGTGTCTATTTGGTAGCAAGATACATAGCTGGTCATTACTTGGCCTCTTTGTATCATGTGCCAGTAACTTGGGTGGGGGAGTACTTACATTCCAGCAACATCCGCAAGGATTTGCCTAGAACTCAACACTACACAATTCTTAGTACTGCAGAAGAGATTCATCAGTTTCCAGTAAAATCATTGGTGTTTGAAGTGTAATCATTGGACAAAAGTGTTGTATGTACAAGACGTGGGGGTAATTGTATGCATTGTTTTGTTACATTTGTTCTTTCTCTTTGGGTTCATGGTCCTCCAGGTTGCTTTGATTGTTCTTTGTGGCTGTTATTTATCTGTTGTCTCTATCCCTTAACATTTAGCTCTCATAAATCTTTCTGTGAATCTTCCAGTCATAATATGGGTCCACCCAGTTTTCACCTGTCTTGTGGCCTATTTTCAGAAACTTCCTTCAACCTTTGATTGGTTCTGATTCACCAAATGCCTTGCTTAGGTCTACACATGTTCCTCAGAATATTCCTGTCCCTGTCACATTCATGAATCTTAGAGGCAGTTTCTAATGCTTGTTATTTCTATGTTGCATTAAATCGGAGTATGAGTAAGAAGCTGGTCCCTTCCAGCACATACAAGTGCCATATTGCAGTCTGTTGGCATGGCTTGCTTTGCCGCAGACTTTGACAGTGGTGGCAGTGCATGTGGAAGGAGAGGAAATGCAAATACATCGACACGCTACTGCAGGACCGCTATCTTTATGTCCAGGTGTAGTAGTGAAGGTGTGGATTGCAACATGCGTGGAATTGACGTATATAATAGCTTCAAGCAGTAAACATTTCATATTTTACTTTTTGATGAGTAGAATTCCGTTTACGCCTGTAATATGCATCCCTCTACATCTCTGGTTTTCACATTGGATATTTTAAAGGTTTATCACAGAATTGATATCTGTGCAGGCTGGTTACAGGCCACATGTTTAGATGTGTTTTGGTTGTGCGTGTGGCCTGAAGTATTTGGGCTGCGGTTACAGCCGGAGTGAGGACTACACAATACAGTAACTAAGAATCTGCTGTAACCAATGCACATGCTACATTCCTTTTCCTGATTTAGTGGGCTGTATGAGATCCACTGTGCATTCTGTTGAGAATGGCCAGGTCTAAAATCAGTGACTGCAGTTATATGTGATTTCACTGTGGGGTCCTAGGTTCATTGCCAGGGTGTTAAATGGCTGTTCCTCACACAAAGTTGTGATAAGATGCTCCTAACCTGTCAGGCTTGTGTGCTCTTGGTAAGGAATTCTGGTCTTGTGGTTTGGCACTAGGCGCACCCGGAGATGATGATTGACCCTGAAGATGGAGGTGTTATGTTTTGAAATACTGGTACCTGTATACCAGGCTGCCTCGTCTGGACACACACTAATGTGGGAATGCGATTACTTATGTAATGTGTTTTGATGGTCTGCTGGACTAATTAATTGATGTGTTGTCAGGTGTGTGCGTTCAGACAGAAACTGTGTTGCGTCAGGCTATTGCTGAGCGAATCAAGCCAGTGTTGTTCATGAACAAGATGGACCGTGCTCTGCTGGAACTGCAGCTGGAGTCCGAGGAACTGTACCAGACTTTCCAGCGTATTGTTGAGAATGTTAACGTGATCATTGCCACCTACAGTGATGACTCTGGGCCCATGGGAGAAGTGCGGGTATGTATCACAGGATTGATATGGGGTCTGGTGTGGTGGCGCTCGCACCATAACAGAGGATTGTGGTAAAAATCTTCTTGGCTGTGAAAGCCAAATGTGTTGTAATTGAATAATTGTCCACAGCTCAGAGGGTCATTAGCCATGGAGGTTCTATAGAATTGTGTGGAGTAGCTGTGTAGATTGCTGTTTGCACACCAGAGTGTGGTGTTATGTTAAACTCAAATTCATAGGATTTGCCATGATCATGATAAGGGGTCTGTGTATTACATGTTTTATATTGTATATAGAAATATCTGCTGTTGAGAACAAAGCTAGGAAATCTTATTAAAACTGCGTTAGTACATCCACTTTGCATAAATTCCAGCGAGAATGGAATTTACGAGCTGAACTGTTTCACGTGCTTGTGATGGAAGCTTAAATTTTAAACTTTATTACAAATTTACTGGTTGTAGGAGATAGCAAGTGAAAGTATTATAAAGTAGTTCATGTACTTTATTTTCTGGATGAGCCTATTGAAACTAATGTCTCTACCATGGACTAAGCATGTGTCGGAATTGTTACGTTTACAGGTGGACCCCAGCAAGGGTAGCGTCGGCTTTGGCTCTGGTCTCCATGGCTGGGCTTTTACCCTCAAGCAGTTTGCTGAGATGTACGCTGAGAAGTTCAAGATTGATGTCGTGAAGCTTATGAAGAGGTGAGATTACGTGCAATATATTTTTATTTAGTGCGGTAATGTAAGCTGCAGAGGAATGGTTACCTGGTTCCCAGCGCTGGGACTCTGTCTTCCACCCCACATGTTCTGTGAAGAAAGGGATGTTGGCTGAAGATTATAATCACTGTATATTCTTTCATAAATTAATATGCTGTTACCAGAGCATGAAACTGTTCACGCATCTGCCATCAAGTGCCAGGGCTAGTCATTTGCAAACTGTGTATCAACTAGATGAGCTAAGGGTGTTTTCTGTTCAAGGCGCTGCAGTCAAAGAGACCGGCTTGTTAATTGGTTAAGTGTAGTATGTCTGTCAGTAGAGGGCATCAGAAGTGATATAACAATGTTCAGAAGATGAAATGGGCATTCACATGAAATGCTTTTGTTTGAAGCTCATTTATCCCCCAAGTATCCTGTGACACTAGGCATGGTATTGAAGTAGCTGTGTTTGTTATTTCAGGCTTTGGGGTGAGAACTTCTTCAACCCTAAGACCAAGAAGTGGTCAAAGCAGAAGGAAGATGACAATAAACGTTCATTCTGCATGTATGTGTTGGATCCGATTTACAAGGTAAGTAAGTTTGTATGACACGTTTAGTGTAATTACTCTCCCGTCATGCCATGTATAGTCTGATGGAAAGGTATCTTTGTTAATGCCGTGGGTTGCTTACAGAAGGGCGATAAATTTTTTTTTGTAGGTGTTCGACAGCATCATGAACTACAAGAAAGAGGAGGCTGCCAGTCTGCTGCAGAAGCTGAACATTGAGCTGAAACCTGAGGATAGAGACAAGGATGGAAAGGCACTTCTCAAGGTTGTGATGAGAACATGGCTGCCAGCAGGAGAGGCCTTGCTTCAGATGATAGCTATTCACTTACCGTCGCCTGTCGTGGCACAGAAGTACCGTATGGAGATGTTGTATGAAGGGCCACTTGATGATGAAGCTGCTATTGGTGTGAAGGTATGTAGAAAATTTGTGCCGTTCACACAGCTATGTTGTGGTCAGTATACACCGTTTGGCTACAGTTTCATCCATGAGCGTGATAATGTGCAGTAGTAGACAATTTTTTGATGTGAAAAATTAATGTCTGCATTTCAGTGTATCCCTTGCAAATTACATACATAGAACAACCCAGTGTGTCATAGCTCAGTCAGTATAGTGAATGACTATGGGCTCGACAACTGAGGGGTCGAAGTTCGAGTCCCATAGGGTCAAGAATTTTCTCTCGTCCATGATGTCCAAATAGGCTCTGGGGTCCACTGAACTTCCTATACAGTGGGTACCTGGGGTAAAGTGGCCGGTTCGTGAAGCTGACCACTCAAACTCCAGCTAGTGCATAGGTCAAGAAAATGCTGCTCTATATATCCAGTCCCCCATACGCCTTAATGGCGTGCTTAATTAGTTAAGCACAGGGACAACTACCTTTTACACCTCAAAGTGTCGTATGATGTTGCAGTTGGACTTTTATTGCCCCCACACACGAAGTTCTGCAGATTTAAGCCGGCTTGATTGCTGTGTTTGGAGCATAAAACAGTTTGTGTGCAGAAACAGAATAGAACTTCCATTATCGCATCAAAAAAATATAAAGATATGTGGCCTTCTGCACCGCGATTCCACCCACTTAGCTATTTGCTAAGTTGGAGTCATAAGCCAAGACACTGGGGGTCCTATTTAATATTCGTTTTAGTAACAGGATGTGTATGAAGTATATTATCTGTTTTCAGAATGAACAGTGTGTTTTGTTGTAACTGCTGTGTCAGACCAATTGACTTACTCTCTCTCTCCAGAGTACTGTATATCAGAACATTTCTAGCCATGGTTGCACAAAATGTTTCCTTCTAGTGGAACCAGCCTTATTCTGGGCATGTGCCTTGAAGGACACACAAGCACAATTCTAGTACGAGTACTGTGTGTGTGATAGCACAGAGCAGAAGCAGTTGCACAGTGTAAGGCACACCATATGAACAGGTTAAGCACAGGCTTTTAATTGCCATAAACTTGTGCTCTTGTTTTCAGAACTGTGACCCCAATGCACCACTTATGATGTACATCTCTAAAATGGTACCGACCTCAGACAAGGGACGATTCTATGCCTTTGGGCGTGTTTTCTCCGGAAAGGTGAGGACTCCATTATTGATAGTTACCTGGTTATGACTAATGTATAAGACAACTGCCAGGCAATATGTGCACTTTTTATCATCCAGAAGCACGGGTTTGTACATAGGGGCCTGCTTGTCTCCCCATGGGGTTTTCTTCTCAGCATTACCAATGTATGGAATGTTGCTGTTTTCCCATGGGAGAACATTTTGTTCTTTTGTTTCGGTTGCCATGAGTACAGAATGTGTAACCAGAATAGGGGAACATACATGATTATAATGTGTACAGTGTTTTTTGTGTAGGTGCAGTTGAAAGTGTTTGTCATTTGCCCTACTTTATGTACAGTGTGCATGGGTGTGGAGACTTGTATTCATCCTGCCTGCATGCCTCACATGAAGGTGGTGGTCAAGTCCCACAGTTTCACTAGAATCCTCTTTTAACCCTTTCACTCCTATATCTGAGATGGTTCATTTACGACTAATTTGCCCAGACTAGACAGTAATAAGTGACTGCCTCTGTGGTCTAGTGGTCAGAGTTCCTGGCTACAGCTCCAGAGGTCCTGGTTTCGATTTCCAGCACTTCCAGATTTTGTGAGAAGTAGTGGGTCTGAAACGGGGTCCGCTCAGCCTCATGAAGATAATTGAGGAGCTATTTCAAGGATATAGCGGCTCCGGTGTAGAAAACTGAGATTAACAGCTGTGGGAATCTGTTGCTCTGACCACGTGACACCCTCTGTCTGCAAAAGTTGGCACTAACTTCACCGACAAGTGGCGGTTGCTCTGTTGGTATAGTTTGCTTGCGGACTACAGACCCTGGAATTTTTTTAGGCAGTAATAATTGTAGTTACTATAGGATTCTGACGATGGTGTATAACATACTGATATATTGGGTTTCTGGACTTCATCCATCGTCCTGGTTTTTAAGATAAATAAAAACACGACGTTTCGGAAACTGGATCTGTTTCCATCCTCAGGTGAAGGAAAAGGGAAACACCTATTCTGTTGGGTCCGTTAGAAAGAGCTAGCCTCAGTGATCATGTTTTTATTTGTTATCTTAAAAACCAGGACGATGGATAAAGTCCAGAAACCCAATATATCAGTAATAATTGTTTATTATTTCCCTGCTAATATGCAGGCAGAGCACTACCAGGTGAATGTAGCTACATCTCTGATTCCATGGATACATGTGTAATATTTGCTGCTGGTTTCGTTGCTGTGAAGTAGTGCTAGAGTACTGGTTAATGTTGTGGGCTGGCAACACTTGAGTTATAAGGAGTGAATGTCATCGGTTTTATATCTGTAGCAATTGGCATGTACAAAGTTTTCATGTGTTTTTGTAGGTTGCAACAGGAATGAAGGCTCGTATCATGGGTCCAAATTATGTCCCAGGCAAGAAAGAGGACCTGTATGAAAAGGCAATCCAGCGGACTATCCTGATGATGGGGCGTTACGTTGAGGCCATAGAGGATGTCCCTAGTGGTAAGTCTTGAGTAAACTTGCTTCTGACGCTTCACATTCCCCAGTACGCCACGCTTCATCTCCGTTTTGGAGTTTGTAAGTGCCAGAACATGTATCGGGGTAAATAAATGTCCAGCTAGGAAGCGCCGCATCATGTTGAATGTTTTGTGGCGTGCCGAAAGTAATGGTTACATTTATACTCTGTAGATTTTGAGGAGTGTTTGACTTGTAGTTTAGAGAATTGAGTGTAATTTTCATCTGATTGTTTTGCTCGAGTACTTAATAGTTCTTGCTTTGCAGGTAACATCTGTGGATTGGTGGGTGTGGATCAGTTTTTGGTCAAAACTGGTACCATCACAACATTCAAGGACGCTCACAATATGCGTGTAATGAAGTTCAGCGTGTCTCCTGTCGTGCGAGTCGCTGTGGAACCCAAGAATCCTGCTGACCTTCCAAAGCTGGTGGAAGGTGTGTGATTGGTATTTTTGTGGCCCCAGTGTACTGTCTTGTGCACAGTATGGTATTTCTTTTGTGATCCCAAATTGCCACGCTTCCACTACTTTGATATGTAGAGTGGATAAGTGCCAGTTTATGACTTTGGGTAAAGGAAGCTGTCCAGCTAGGAAGCACTGAGAGACCATTTGAATGTCTTGTGGTGTGCCGAAAGTGATGGATACATTTAATGTGCATGGGCATACTCTGTACATGTGCACATGTGAGGACAGTTGTGTGCTGATAAGAGGTTTCTCTGTCTAGGTCTAAAGCGTCTGGCCAAGTCTGATCCTATGGTGCAGTGTATCATCGAGGAGTCTGGGGAACACATCATTGCCGGCGCTGGTGAATTGCACTTGGAGATCTGTCTGAAGGTGAGCACAGTTACATTTTAATGTGGAAAGTCTCAAAGAGTTTCTCTCCATGTTGTTTCCCACAACTTTGCTGGGGTAGTGTCGAATCCGTTATTATTTGATATTCTTACAGAAGTGGCCATGAATGTCACTGTTTTCTGAGGTGTGATGAGGTGTATCTTCAGGGAAAGAGAGTGTCTACACAGACACTAAACACTGAGTCTTTCAAAATGATTGTTGTGAAAACTGTTTTTCATAAACAGAAAAAGTAAATAGTTTCTACCTCACACCAAAGAAAATATAATTGGAGGGCGTTTGAGAGCAGAGTGTTGATAATATTTCGTCTCTGGAGGAAATTGCATAATGAGGAGCTTTATAATTTATCTTCATCAAATATTTGTAGGATAAAGTTGAGGATGACAAAGGTGGGGCATGTAACACGCGGGAGAATAGAAGTGCACAAAATTTTAGGCAGAAGGGTCCTCCTGGCATGTTTAAGAATAGAACAATGTCAAAAAGGAGCAAAAATATTGTGTGGGGTGTGGACTGGATTGATATAGCTCAGGAACCTGCTGTTGGGCACGTGCGAACATGGCATTGAATTTTCAGGCGCTGTAAATATACCTGAGTAGTTCAGTGATATGGCTTCTGTAGGGATTGTCCATGGGTTAGCATGAGTGAGCAGTGGAGGATGTTTCATGGTAAACTGGAATGTGTGCATTTCTCCCAATAATGCTGTGAGTGCATGTGATATTGAAACTTCGTGGAAGCCAAAGGAGGGAGCCTGGATAGGGCGTGATAGAAACTGGCTCAGGCTGGTTTTTGTTATCTGTGGTTTGAACTGAGTTGATAGATTCTGATGCTTTTGTATTAACATCGTAAAAATATTTGATACAAGTCATAAATTAAGTTTGTATGTAAGCGTTCTCATGGTTTTGTATCGGGGGAGTAGAGAGGCCTGCCCATATTTGGCTTTGTGTTTGTTTTATGCCTGTTGGTTGCTGTGTGGTCTCCTCATTCAGCTTCTGATGATGATCATTTACAGACCTGTTCTGAATTCGTATGAAGAACCGGAATTGTCCACTGAAGAAGCATATACAGACCTTAAAATTTTAGTTTTTCTTTGTAATAATTTTATAGTAAATATTTGTTTCTGAGATTTACAGTGCATATAAAAAGCTTGTGTTCAGCATCTACCATTCCTTTCACGTTACTGAAAATTATACTTGACTAACATATGTTAATACTGTTTCCCTTATTGACTGTACAGTTTTCTTTCTGAATGGTCAGTTTTTGAGTGAAAGCCATGGGAAAAATATGCAGTTCTTGTGTTGGTGTAAATTGCAGCCTTCATGTACAGTGGTCAGCTGAAGATTGAATAAGAGGAAATGCGCTTGATGCTGAAGATAGGCTAAGCGTTCCTGGTTTCATGTTTTTTTATTTTTGCCAGTAAATTGCAGGATTTCATGTTCTTATGATCTGTTATCCAGGATTTGGAAGAAGACCATGCATGCATTCCACTCAAAAAATCTGATCCAGTCGTATCATATCGTGAGACAGTATCAGAGGAGTCAGACCAGATGTGTCTCTCCAAATCTCCGAACAAACACAACCGACTTTTCATGAAGGCACAGCCGATGCCTGATGGTCTAGCTGAGGATATTGACAGTGTAAGTACAAGATGACGCTTGGGGTTCAGATTTGTGTCTTGACGGCTCTTAATGCTGTGTTATCTTTTGCTAACGGAGGGGTGAATCTTAATACTGTGTTAGCTTTTGCTAACGGAGAGGTAGAGGTGATTCCTAATCTTTTGTTAACAGGGAGAGGTGAATCCACGTGATGAGTTCAAGGCACGAGCTCGCTACTTGGGTGAGAAGTACGAGTATGATGTCACAGAAGCCCGTAAAATCTGGGCTTTTGGGCCTGATGGCACAGGTCCCAATCTGCTCCTGGACTGCACAAAGGGAGTCCAGTACTTAAATGAGATCAAGGACTCAGTCGTGGCAGGATTCCAGTGGGCCACCAAAGAGGTAACTGGTTGATGTTGTACAGTGAGTTCTGTGAAGTTTGGACTTCTGTCGGCATAGTAGTCATTCAAAAGAATTTGTTGAAGGCAAAAAGAGGTACCAGTTTCTTTATATGTAATTAAAATGTGACTGTTCAGCTTGTCAAATATAGTAGCTATTTAAAATTTTTTGGAGGGTAGTTGTGTTCCCTGGTATTTTGCATCAGCGTTTGAATTTGTTTGCTAGAAAGATCTGGAACAGATTAATTTTCTTTTGGCTTTTAAATATTTTATTCACATCTACAAACAAATTGTAAAAAATTTGTAACATGTAAGAAGTGAAGATATAAAAAAAAGATCTCCCATTTTTGTCGGAATATGTTGTCATTGCATTTCTTCACGCAAAGAATTTTAAGAATATATACAAAAAGTTACTGTATTCTTATCCTTATTGTTTATATAAGAATGTCTTCTGTTTTACATCGATTTTGTCTGGTCACTGTAGTTGAAGTAATAATTGGAAGTGATATTGCCAGCATTGTTGATAACAAAGAAAAACTGAAGGACTATTGCCATGTGTTTGAACCCATTTGATGTCCGTCATTTCATAGTGTTCAGTCCCTCCATTTAAGATTTGTTTTGCTTTCATGCTCGAGTCCACTGCCCCCCCAAACAAAGAAACCCTTGAATAATCTTTCACTTAAAAGGCTGTCATGAATTTTTGCTGGCCATTTGCAAAATTAATTTGATATACGTGAATGGACAATTGTTCATCAAGATTTGATCACAAACATTGAATGTATGGGCTTGTGCACATTGAGGAACTGCATGAAATGTAAAAGTTTTGACTAATTATTAAAACAGTAATATTTGGTTTCATTCTGAGGAGGTTGGTTATGTATTGTGCCATTGTTCACAGGGAGTACTGGCTGAGGAGAACATGCGTGCTGTTCGGTTTAACATTTATGATGTGACGTTGCACACGGACGCCATCCATAGAGGTGGTGGTCAGATTATTCCCACAACTCGACGCTGCTTGTATGCTTGCGTCCTCACAGCCCAGCCTCGACTGATGGAACCAGTATACTTGTGTGAGATTCAGGTAAGCAGGAATTAAGTTACTCATAAGAATTTCTGTCTGATACTCAAATTTTCATTGAATCAAGTTGTCCCAGGGGAATGTGACTCTTTTAGGAGTTGCTTAATACAAAAGTAAGCTGGGAGACCAGCTATTCTGGGTGAATTTTTTGTGATTTTCCTTGGTGCTTCCAGGTAAATGCTGGGATAGTATCTGGATTTAGGTCAGTCGCTTTCAACTCCTTCACAATTTGTTTATGATCCTACCATTCATTGTTATATAGTCTGGGTACATAGTGTCATAAATAACTGGCAAAGAAAGGCACCTGGGAGTCTTAAAATAATGAAGGATCGTTGGTGTAAATACTGACAGTTCGTGTTAATTTCAAGAGTTAGTTTAGATCCTGATGCCTTTGTGTTCTAGTGTCCAGAAGTTGCCGTTGGTGGTATATATGGTGTACTGAATAGACGACGAGGGCACGTATTTGAAGAAATGCAGGTGGCTGGCACACCGATGTTTGTAGTTAAAGCATACCTGCCTGTGAATGAGTCATTCGGTAAGCATGATGCAGTTACATTTATTGGAAAGTGCAGTATCTGTGTTTTATGGAATGTGTCTAAGCATACAATACACTTGATCAGTGATGGCAAGAAAGAATCTATCTTGAAAGAGTGCATATTAGAATCTCGATGAAATGGAGGTCAGTTTTCAGTTGAAATATTGTTCTGTATTCACTTCCCTATAGAAGCATTTATTTTATTCATAGGAGTTCTAGGGTTAAAAATTTGACTCTGGAATAGAGTTTCCTGCCAGAGTTAATGATTAATGATGAGCAGTTCCATGAAAACAGTCGTAACTTTGCGAAGTCTTAGTGTATAAATTAAATTCAGTGAATGTTTAAATTCTGTATAGGAAAGTAATAATGCAAAGTACAGTACTTGTCTGCAAGGAAGTGCCAGTTATCTGTCTGGTTGAGGTTCACATGTTTTTGTTGGTGTAACAAACTTGATTGTGAGTTGTGTTGCCATTGTTGGATGTATTTGCATGTTACTAAAGATGTTTAAATCCTGTTCCACCTTTAGGCTTCACAGCAGATCTCCGCAGCAATACGGGCGGACAGGCATTCCCACAGTGTGTGTTTGATCACTGGCAAGTTCTGCCTGGGGATCCATTGGATTCTAGCACCAAACCCTATGTTGTTGTACAGGTATGCAAACAACACTTCACATACTGCAATATGAAGCGTGACACATGGAGAGGAGGAAGACTTAGTGAATTACTGTTGATGTGGTATATTGCAAATTCATGATTAGTATTTCTGCATTAGTGAATATTTTTCTCTGGTCTGAGCTGAAGTTCAGAGCAAATAGTATATTAGTTTTCCATATCTACTTACTTTTGATTAGATATGTATGTAGTGTAAGAAATGTTCAACCTTTCAAAAGTTGCCCCCCAGTTTTAGTGTGCTTGTGGTTCAGATAGTAGTTAGTATTCATATTTTCTCTGCTGGAAATTGTTCCTGCACAACAGTTTGTTTGATGTGTCAGATGTTAGAAATGACATTGCAAGTCTAATAGGAACCACGGAAAGTTTAGAAGGAACCAATAATTTGCAGTGGGCATAATGTAAGGGTTTAATGCTGTAAGTTCGAAAATTGCTTGGGTGAAATATAACATGACACTAAGATTATAAAAACTTAAACAGTTCCGTCCAGTGTGACTGGTGAAGATTTTTCTTATTTCAGTTCTTCATGCACTTACTAAGAGTATGGAATCTGTTTTCTCTTCACACAGTGTATATTGTGTAGAAATATTTGTATGGAAAAAGAAAAATCTGCTTGGTTCTTGAATCAAGATGATTTGTTTACGGGAGTAACTTCATGTGTCAGTACTTCTCTTATTTGGGTTGAGCTTCTGGTGATGATTTGTTCATATTCACAGACCTGTTCTGAGTAACTGATGAACCAGAACGGCCAGCTGAGGAAGCTGCCGAGTAAATTTTTATGTGAATTTGATGTCTCTCACTTTAGTGGGGTTTCACATATGTAATGCAGTACAGAAAGCTTAAAGTAGTCTTGATTTGTTTTTATATATATCAATTCATTTGTAGTATAATTCCCTCTCGTTTTTGTAGTAAAGACACCTGAAAGATTGATGTGTTACAGTTTGTCAGACGATTAAAATTTTTAATGGATTTTTATATTTTAGTTGCACTCCGTTATTGAACAGTGATATAGGTAGTTCTGATTTATCCTGATGCATTTCTAAGACACTGCTTAACATCTAAACAATTTCAATGGTCAGGCACTTGATTTTCGGCTGAACTTCTCCGATTCTAAGTTACATATAGGAAGGGCTGTGCCATAGCTCAAGCGGTTAGTCGCTGGCTTCCCATTGCGGCGGCCCAGGTTCGATCATGGGTCTGTTCAAGTGGGATTTGTGGTGGACAAAGTGGTGCTGGGGCAGGTTTTCTCTACGAGTACTTTCCCCTGCCAATCTTCATTCCACCAATTGCTCCATAATCACCCTCATCTATCATCTGGGGCTGGTACAATAGGACAGAAGTGGCCGCTGTACAAGGGACTTAGTCCCACCCCACTAGCAATAAAAAGAATACATATAGGAACAGAATGAAGCTGAGTTTCATGTTGATTTTATGGCTCTTTTTTATCTGCTCAGCTTGGAAGATTTGAATTTGTTCTGACTAGTAATTTTTCTTTGTTCTGCAGGAAACACGCAAGAGGAAGGGGCTGAAAGAAGGTCTACCGGATCTTACTCAATACTTGGACAAATTATAAAAGATGTATGAAGTTAGGCGAGGTGTACAAAGTATTTAATTAATTACAAAAGAAACTGATCATAATAACATTTGGAGTTTATTCACATGACAGAACAGGAGAGGGGGGTGGAAACATCAATTTTGAATGTGGTTTGAGAAGACACCACAGATATTTTGATGTGTTATGCTATATAATGTAAGGTTGCTATATCGTAGCCTCCTTTATTGTTTGAAGATTTACACTACTGGTTTTATTTGAAGATTCGTTGAATATGTTTAACATCTGTAATAGGAGTTACACAGTATAAGTTTATAAATGATGTATGAAGTTAGGTGAGGTGTACAGAGTATTTAATTAATTACAAAAGAAGCATCATTATAACATTTGGAGTTTATTCGCATGACAACAGGAGTAAAAGGTGAAGGAGAAGGTGCAGAGATTAGTTTTGAATATGAGTTGAGAAGACCACAAATACATTGACGTGTGTGATACTATGTAATGTAAGGTTGCTATGTTGTACGCATTATTGTTTGAAGTTCTACACCACTGGTTTTATTTGAAAATTTGTTAAGTATGTTCTACATCTGTAAAACGGCTACAGAATAAAAGTAAAAAACACAGTTTATGGTTACTTTATTTCTCATTCCTTATCCCATGTAATTTCTGTTACCTGTGTGTAGAATGGCATTCCATTCTCTTGTTTGAAGGAGGTGTTGTCTGTGTTTAGACTTGCCACTTGTTTGTGAAAATGTGCAGTGGATTTCATGAAGTCCATTAGCCCAATTTTGAGGTGAACTGCTGTACAATCTTCTGAAAGTTGCCCAATGTCGCAGAGAAACATGTCACTTCCATTGGCAGGGTCAAAGAATAAGCCGAGCAGGCAGCAAGTAGAGCTCTGTGTTCGTTTCTTTTGTGGCTTATTGTTTGACCCTGAAATTGGAGGTGACAACTTGGAAATGGTTGACTTTCAACGGGCTACACAATTCTTTTCCAAAAATTTTGTTAGATTTCAGTGCCAAAGTAGGGAGGAAAGACATTTTCAAACCAACTGGGAATGAGAGTTTGCATGAAATTAGTAATGATAATGGAGTTAGAGTTGTAAACTTTGCCGCACAGAAAAATCTTACTGTCAAAAGTACAATGTTCCCACACCGTAACATCCATCAATTTACTTTGATATCTCCTGATGGGAAGATACACAATCAAATAGACCATATCTTGATACACAGGAGATGGCACTCGCGTGTGCTTGATGTCCGATCATTCAGGGCAGCAGATTGTGATACTGACCACTACCTGGTGGTGGCAAAGGTTAGGGAAAGACTGGCAGTGAGTAAACAAACAACACAGGGTTCATATGGAGAGGTTCAATCTCAAGAAATTAAATGAGGTACAGGGTAACGAGCAGTATCGTGTTGAAATTTCAAATAGGGTTGCGGCTTTGGAAAACTTGGACACTGAGGTGGATGTTAATAAAACTTAGGAAACTATTAGAGAGAATATAAAAATGTCTGTCAAAGAGAGAGTAGGTTATTATGAACTGAAGAAGCATAAGCCATGGTTTGATGAAGGATGCTCAAAAATATAGCAAAGAAAGCAGGCCAAATTGCAGTGGTTACAGGATCCAAGCGAGTTAAATGGGGATAATCTGAACAATATAAGATGTGAAACCAGCAGGCATTTCAGGAACAAAAAAAGGGAATATCTGAAAGACAAAATTGATGAGCTTGCAATGAACAGTAAGAACAAGAACATTAGAGACTTGTATAGAGGAATAAATGACTTTAAGGGGGGTTACCAGCCTAGCAGTAACTTGGTGAAGGATGAGAATGGTGATCTGCTTGCAGATTCCCACAACATTTTGAATAGGTGGAGGAACTACTCTCAGTTATTGAATGTACATAGGGTCAGTGATGTTAATCAGACAGAAATCGATACAGCTGAGCCCTTAATACCTGATCCTAGCCGTTTTGATGTTGAAAGTGCTATTGCAAAATTGAAACAGTATAAATCACCAGGTAGCGATCAAATTCCAGCAGAACTTATTCAAGCAAGAGGCAAAATATTACATTCTAAAATCCACAATCTAATTACTTCTACTTGGCATAAGGAAAAATTGCCTGATCAGTGGAAGGAGTCTATTATTGTGCCATTTCACAAGAAGGGTGATAAAACTGACTGTAGTAGTTATCGGGGAATATCACGGCTATCAACTTCATATAAAATTTTGTCCAATATTCTTCCTTCAAGGTTAAGTCCATATATAGATGAAATTATTGGGGATGATCAGTGTGGGTTTCAACATAACAGATTAACTACAGATCAGATCTTTTAAATTCTTCAGATATTGAAGAAAAAATTGGAGTATGATGAGACAGTACATCAGCTATTCATGGACTTCAAGAAAGCCTATGATTCAGTTAGGAGGGAAGTATTGTACAATATTCTATAGAGTGTGGGATACCATGAAACTAGTTAGGTTGATTAAAATGTGTTTAAATGAAACATATAGTAAAGTCCGTGTAGGTAAACATTTGTCTGACAAATTTCCTATCCAGAATGGTCTAAAACAAGGAGATGCTTTATCACCACTTCTTTTCAACTTTGCTTTAGAATATTCCATTAGGAAGGTTCAGGGAAACCATGTGGGACTGAAATTAAACAGGACACATCAGCTGGTGGTCTATGCTGATGATGTGAATCTTCTGGGTGATAATGTAAATACCATAAAGAAAATCACACAAACTTTAATTGACACAAGTAAAGAGGTTGGTCTAGAACTAAGCACAGAGAATACTAAGTATATGTTACTGTCTCGTCACCAAAATGCAGGGCAAAATCATGACATAAAGATAGAAACGGATATTTTGAAAATGTGGCACAGTTCAGATATTTGGGAATAACGCTAACAGATCGAAACCTGATTCAGGAGGAAATTAAGAGGCGATTGAACTCGGGTAATGCTTGCTACCATTCAGTCCAGAACCTTTTGTCTTCTCGCCTGCTGTCCAAAAACATAAAAATTAGAATATACAAAACTATAATTGTGCCTGTGGTTCTGTATGTGTGTGAAACTTGGTCTCTGACATTAAGGGAGGAACATAGACTGAAGGTGTTGAGCAGAATATTTGGACCGAAGAGAGATGAAGTGACAGGAGGTTGGAGAAAACTGCATAATGAGGAGCTTCATAACTTGTACTCTTCTCCAAGTATAATTAGAATGATCAAGTCACGGAGAATGAGGTGGGCAGGTCATGTAGCAGGAGTGTTATTGTAAATGAATAAAATTTTGATATATAAATATGAAAATATCTTTCGAATATATTTAACGAGGATTCGGTGTAATTTTATACGTGTCAGTTGAAAAGCGGTCCGCTACAGGAAACGTGATGGATTTTATATATGAATTTATTTTGGTTGGTGTACCTGCATAAAATAGTTACTTCAAAGATATATCTTCGTTAGACCTACGAAAGTACAATAGTACATATTGGCCGAAGACTCTTGTTTGCGCTAGTTTGATCATAGCCATTTAAACGACGTCAACGATGGAAAGGATGCTGGTTCACGATTTTATAATATGATACAGCCACGACTGAAAGATATTTACGAAGTTGAAATGGGAAATTTGCATCGATCACACATTACGTTTCAATGAAAATTGCGAATCGGTTGTAGTTGTGTATGATCTGAATGATAAGGGAGTCGAAGTATGATTTAGGAAGTAAAATAAAGGAGAACATGTTATAAATGCACAACGTGAGAAATAAACCATGCAAGTCATACAAATAGGAATATTATTAACTGTTGTGTTTCTGAAGTGTGTTTCTGGGGATGGTAAGTGAAGATCAGAGGTTATATCAGTTACACCCATGCATGAAACATTTTCTTGCCGATATAAATAAAAATACAAAATTGTAACAGCCATTAATTGTCATTAATAGGTCCTTCTTTGTAAAATGCCTGTTAAATGAACACATAAACCTCTACAGTTTAGTAAAAAGGTTTCAACTACGAAGTTCTGTGTGCATTGTTTGTTTTCCCCATCCTAGCCATACGTCTGACCCATCATAACCTGCTTGATTTCACTACCACAACAAGAGTAGGACGACCTGTATAGATCACAGTGTTCATCATATAATCTCTTAAATATCCTACCAACTTAATTCCTCTCAGGTTCTCACACTTTCTGTAGAATACCTGCATCATACGTTCCTTCCTCAAAGTAAGAGGCCATATTTCACATCCATGTAAAACAACTGGTAAAAGTACTGTCTTATTGGTAAGTGCCAGAATTTAATCGTGACTCTTGCAGGGCAAGGAAGCTGGATGAGGAAGGAAGGGATGGACAAGCTGGAAGGGGCGGAAACATGCCTATCTACTGTTCAGGACATATTGGCCAGTAGCATACTTGTGCAGTGTTCAGCTGAACTGAACTAAAGCAATTGTGTTTGTATATCTACAGAGCAAAGCATCAGTTCAGCAGTGAAACTGACACTGAATACCATAATATTATGCCTGATGAAGACAGTGACATGGAGCTCACACAGCCACTACAGAGTATATACTGAATGTTTTGGCTCAGATAGTTGTTGCTGATTCATGCTGCTGCTGCATCTTTAATGGCTTGGACTTCCTGCCTTCCTCACAGCTCTCAAGAGTAGAGCCTTATACTGTGTATTGATCTCCAGTGCTTTGGAAAGTAGGCACAGTAAACTGAATATTGAATAGCATTTCGAGAGTCATTTATTCTTCTCGTAGTTTCAGTATGAACATTATTTTTGATCGTTATTGTTGTTCCAGGTTTTTCTTGACATTTGTGTCATTATGACTTGTACAGGTTTCCATTCTACACTTGGACACCTCAAGGCACGAGCAAGTCCTCAGATTCAGGCACAATCTGCAGTCGGGGTTATCGAACGCCTTTTAAAAAATAAAACCAGACTGTTTCAAGTGACAGTTGATCCCAAGTTGGGGCCTGTCGGGAAGGACACTTTTAAGGTATCGTAAGATCCTAGCAAATGTTTTTATTAATTATTGTTTTAGATAAAAATCATAGGAATCAGTGATGTAAGCATTCATTAATGAAACAAATCTTCACAGGAATTGGATATGATGTTTTGTAGGCTTTCCATTATTTTGGTTCGATGTGATGGGTGCCACATCTGCACTTTGTATTTATATCACCCAGCTGTACTAGCTGCACCCCTAAAGGGACCTCGGGAGCCATCTGTTTCTACCCATTGTTCCCTCAGGGGTGCAGCTTGAATAGTCTGGAGTTTACTCTGTGGTATAAATACTGTGTACAAATGTGACACTCATCACATCAACCCCTGATGATGGAAACAGACAGTCCATGAAACATTAGGTACCGAGTCCTTATTATCATGGGCTAATCTCCTGAGAAGACTTTAACTGTGTACAGTCACCATGAAAGTATCATATAAGTCATTAGTGAACATTTCCTGTTAACTCCTGAATGAGCATATAGATGTATGACTTCGGTTGCAGATTTTGAAAGAAGAGGGAACGGACAAGGTGAACATTGTGGGTACAAGTGGGGTGGCTGCAGTGTGGGGGTTCCACCACTATTTGAAATACTACTGCTTCAGCCATGTGTCATGGGATTCTGACCAACTTTCTCTTCCTGAGGAACTACCATCAGTCAATATTATTGTCACATCAGCTGATAGGTCAGTAGCGTTATTGTACCTTTAGGGCTGCCTTCAGGTTCCAATGAGTAAATACTGGGATATTGCATTACCTCTGCCACAGGACGTCTGTCAAAGTGTGCAGAGACTGTGTTTTTTTTCTTCAGATTTTACAGTAAATTAACATAACCTTGTAAATAGACTTTAAATGATTGTGGTGATGGTGTATGCTGTACAGAACTGTAAGGTTTATTTTGGACTCTATCCATCTAGCCCTGTCTACCTGAGGACGGAGACAGATCCAGTCTCAGAAACGTTGTGGTTTTTTGTCTTGTATATACCAGATGATGGATAGACTCCAAAATAAACCTTACAGTTCTGTACAACAATATAAGCTTGAGCAAAAGAGAGAGAGAGAGAGAGAACTGCACAGTGGTATTTATCTTTCTTGCTGCTGAGTAATTACTGCTGAGCCATTGAATTATTGTATAGCATTCTAGACTTTTATTCAGGAGGTGCCTGGTTCAAATCTTGGCTGGGACACTAGTTTCCTGTCTGAGGTTTCCATGATATTTCTCACTCCCTACAGGCAACTGTGAGGATATTACTCCAATTAGGCTGGGACCACATGATTCCAAATCCTCTCCTCTTCATTTTTCACCGATTATCCTGCCATTAATGCTGTATAGTTTGAAATACTGATGGTGTTATAACTGATTTATGTTTCTAATTATCTGTAAATATGGAAATCAAGGGGCACGTGGTAGTGTAGTTGATTGAGGCACTATGCTACAAGCTGGAAGGTTGTGGGTTCAAGTCCCGATGAGATAATTGGATTTTTTTTTCAGTTGACATAATCCTTCCAGCTACATTATGGCCCTGGGGTTGACTCAGCCTCTAACAGAAATGAGTACCAGGAATATTCCTTGGGGTAAAGGGCGGCCGGTGCATAGGGCTGACAACCTTGCCGCCATCTGTGAGCCGATTGTCTAGAAAATGTGGGAGCCTCAACATCTCACAACCCTGTGGTCCTCCACGGCCTGTTACAGGGATACCTTTACTTACTTTACTTAATGGAAATCAAGACAAATCACGCAGAAACTAACTTACCGCATGCTGATTCTTACCTTGTCTTATGAAAGGTTTTGCGATAATTTTGAACACCATTTATGTTGTTATGTGTAATGTAAGGTATTGTCGTTGCAAATTCTGGAAGTTACTGAATTCTTATACAGATGGCATGCTGAGGCAGCAGAGAGGCCTGACTTGAAACTCTTCATGTTCAGGATAGGTGGACATATATACCCAGCAAGTCTGAATGCATTCAGAAAGTCAGTTTGGGAAATAAAAGCTTGTAGATTTGCACATCCAAAGACAATGGAGACTCTGAGGATGCCATGTTGTAGGGGTCAGGTAACATTACAGCCTCAGCAGCACAAAAATTTTAAGCCCATGTATCACTTATTAATTGTAGTTAGGGCCTTTGATACAAAAAACCATAGAATTATATTCACCCCTAGCGGAGGTATTGCATATGGATGGGTAGACAGTGATGATTGGTTGATTTCTTTAACTTATTTACCCATTGTGTTCATTTATGATTCACTAACATGTAAGAGTATTTTGGTGACAGGTTCAGATATTACCAGAATGTGTGTACCACAAGCTACAGCTTTGTGTGGTGGGACTGGCCCCGCTGGGAAAGGGAGGTAGACTGGATGGCCCTCAATGGGATCAATCTGGCCCTGGCATTCACTGGGCAGGAGGCGATCTGGCAGCGTGTGTACAGTGAGCTGAACCTCACACAGGAAGACGTGAATGAACACTTCAGTGGCCCTGCCTTTCTGTCATGGTACGTAAGATCATAAACACAAAACCACAGGCTTCATTTTCTGTTAGAATATAGTTTTAACACATTGTCTTCTTCATGATTTTTTTATGTTTGCTTGTATATTAATCTGACATTTTCAAGGTCATGGGTTCAAGCCCCAAAATCTTGTCATTTCGGGTGTTATCTAGCCACATCCAATGGGTACCAGGGATTCTTTCTCCAGGATTAAAGCGGCTAGGGTATGAAGCTGACCACTTACCTGCATTAGTGCTGAGGTGACACAAGGAGCTATACCTCCGTTCCACCATGTCTTCATGGTGTGGTGCTTAACTAAGCACATGGTCGACTTCATGGGGCCACTGCATTGAGACAGGTAATTTTTGTGTTATTCTGAAAGGTTACAGATGTTGATGAACATTGCAGTATGCACAGACTGTAGCAACAAATCTCCTTGAAGCTTGGGTGCAGTTATCAGTGTCACAGCAAGGGCATGAGAATATGTCATAGTATTATGGACCAGACACCGGCATCCCCAATGGCAGTCAACGTGTTGAACCTCCAAGAACTTTCATGAAGAGTTGATGCTTACTCAGATGGGAATTAATTCCCTGCTTGTTTTGAAACCTGAAGGTCTATTTCTAAAGTTACAAAATCCCACGATATTATCCTGTCCTCCATCCTCAAATTGAAATTATTGAGGATTATGAAATTAAGGCATTCACATGTTATACCTTCTGTACTTTCTAGGTTGCGGATGGGCAATATGCGAGGTTTTGGTGGCCCGCTCCCTGATTCATGGCACGCCAAGTCACTGTCCTTGCAGCACAGAATCCTCGCACGCATGAGAGAATTGGGAATTGTACCTGTTCTGCCTGCTTTTGCGGGACATGTACCACGGGCATTTAAACGGTAGCATTGGATCTTCGTATATTAATTTTGAATTACTTGCTTAGTTGAGATTAGATAGGTTCTTGTGGCAGCGGGTGTCAAGATTACAGTTTCCTGGCATGTGATACCATGTACACATAGTTTGGTTAAGTGGGCACCATGGTTACAAAGCAATGAAGGCACCATGAAGGCAGAAACAGCAGACTTCGCCAAAGCATTGGTCAGTACCTGCCAAATGCCATGGCGTCTCATCTCAGAGGACTGTATTCTCAGTACCGCTTACTTCACTTCTTGTTTCTTAATATTAGAAGGAAAACACGAAGGGATAGAATATACAAATTAAATTTTCAGAGAGTGAATTTGAATGAAAAATATTGTGGCATAATAAGCAGCTATACAACAGCTGTTGCTAGGTAATGGCTCTGTATATGACGGCATATGCTAGGTAATGGTCACAACAGATTTGTAACATGCAGCAATGGAGTAACTGAGAAGTGGTGTTTTCTACGCAGCCCATGTGATAGTTTTGTGATGCAACAATTGAAGAACTGTTGGGAGAGATGTTTTCTGTGTGGGCCATGCTGAGGGTATATAACCAGGAGGAGCTGCGATTATGAGAGATTCTTGAGACAGCAGTGAGAAGTGTAGGAGGTTGCTGTGAGATGGCCTCCAGCCTGGGAGTTAGTTGGAGCAATGATTGAGTTGTGAGACAGTCGCCAGCCAGTAAGGACATAAATACAGAAGCCAAGGAAGCCATTGGCAGGCAACAACTGATGAAGATACAGCAGACTCAGAAGACTTTGTACATCTTTTAGTGAACTGCAGATGTGTGAATTAGTGTTATCGCTATAGTTATTTGTAGTTCTATAAGAGTTCAGTAAATCCAGTTTTGAATCCAAAACCCATCTGTAGTCACTCAGTCATGTTAGTATGTTAATACAGTTACGGAGGAATCAGTTATGATGGTTTGGCCGTGTAGAAGTAACAGAGAGAGCGTGGATATTGAGAAGAGTGGGAGAAGTATATTTTCAAGGAAAGACAAGCATGGGAAGCCTAGGAACAATATGGCTTAGCCACAGATAGGAAGATATTAGGTAGAAAGAAAAAAGCTGGCAGGAAAAGTTTTAGGAAGAAGAGATTGGCCACTTTTTGTCTATTGACCTGTATAAAAGAAAAATTATGTTAGATAAAGAGTAAAATCAGAGTGTTGAGTAACTAATATTCTGGGGGAACATACTGCTTCATCTTCAGGGTCAAAGAGTAACTTGTGCAAGTCAGCATGCTGCTCTCTGTTTGTCTTACTTTCTGACCCTGAAGTCGAGGTCAGTACATTTGTCCGAAACTTCAGTAAGACTGCATGGAGGAACATCCCAAAAGACAGTACTCTGAATCACATAGTCTTGTTTTATTCAATGTTCCAGTTTATACCCAGACACTCCGATGACCCGTATGGCAGACTGGAACCGTTTCCCAGATGAATTTTGCTGGTATGTAGTAACCAATTAGTTTGATGAACAGTTATTAGTGGTGAAAATCTGTGTGTTAAATGAATTACATGACCTCACGCTTTGTTGCAGTCCATTTGTTCTTGAGCCCACCGACCCATTGTTCAGGAGAGTTGGAAATATGTTTATCTCTGAAGTAAGTACAAAATGAATACTTTGTAGTTTTCCTCAGATGCCATTAATCTGTATTAACCACAGTCTGTACCACTGGAGCACTGCTCCAGTTGGTTCAAGCAGTGGTGCATCCACATTGTGTCTGGAAAGTGCTCAGTTCTAATTCCAGCCTGATCGCCAGGTTCCTGACTGACCTTTTCTGTGGTTTTCCTTTGTCTCTGGAGGCAGAAATGCAGAACTTGGTATCTTGGCCACTGTGGCCGCTTCCTTCTGCACTGTTTCCAGCTAATTATTGTCTGGCCATTCAACACTGTATTACTTACTTACTCATGGAGCTGAGCCCTTCTGGAGGAGCTGCCAATTCTGCAGCTACTCAAGAATTTTCCAGCATTTTATGGAACCCGAATGTTCATTACCATGTTCACAAGAGCCCTCCACTGGTCCCTATCCTGAGCCAGATCAATCCAATCCATACCATCCCATCCTATCTCTCTAAGATCCATTTTAATATTGTCCACCTGCCTACGTCTTGGTCTTCCCAGTGCNCCTGCCCACCTCATACTCCTTGAATTGATCATTCTAATTATACTTGGAGAAGAGTACAAGTTATGAAGCTCCTCATTATGTAGTTTTCTCAAACCTCCTGTCACATCATCGCTTTTTGGTCCAGATATTCTTCTCAACACCCTGTTCTCAAACACCCTCAGTCTCTGTTCCTCCCTTAATGTGAGAGACCAAGTTTCACACCCTTACAGAACCACAGGCAAAATTATAGTTTTGTATATTGTAATTTTTATGTTTTTGGGCAGCAGATGAGAAGACAAAAGGTTCTGGACCGAATGGTAGCAAGCATTACCCGAGTTCAATCTCCTCTTTATTTCCTCCTGAATCAGGTTTTGATCTGTTATCGTTGTTCCCAAATATCTGAACTGTGCCACATTTTCAAAACATCTGTTTCCTATCTTTATGTCATAATTTTTCCCTCCATTTTTGTGACAAGACAGCAACATATACTTAGTTTTCTCTGTGTTTACTTCTAGACCAACTCTTTACTTGCATCAGTTAAAGTTTGTCTGTTTCTTTTATGGTATCTACATTATCACCCAGTAGATTCACATCTTCAGCACAGACCAACAGCTGATGTGTCCCATTTAGTTTCAGTCCCACCTGGTTTCCCTGGACCTTCCTAATTGCATATTCTAAGGCAAAGTTGAAAAGGAGTGGCAATAAAGCATCTCCTTGTTTTAGACCATTCTGGATAGGAAATTCATCAGACAAATGTTTACCTACACGGACTTTACTATATGTTTCGTTGAACTGAACTGTTGCAGTGTTACTTATCCATGTGCCAGCTGTCTGAGTGTTGCATTACATCACTACTAATACTGTTACTTCTAAGAGAAAATGTGTTTGATAGCCCCATAGTACTGAGAGATACAGAACCCCCTGTTCCTGAACAAAAAACTGTTATCTCTTGGTTAAAATCTAGCTACCAATCCTGTAGCACCAGGAGATATAAAATCATCAGTTGTCAGAAATAGTGGTTAATAGTTATAGAGTAAAAATAAAGTAAAGTAATTAAGTAAAGCTAAAGCGGCCACCGTAGTCTAGAGGTAATGTTCCCACCTCATGACTCGTAGTACGCGGGTTCAAATACCCGGCAGAGGTCGTCAAATTTTTAAGGGCGGAAAAAATTCAGGGAACAAGTCCTCTGGGAGGGACTTTAAGCTGTGGGTCTCGTGTCGTAGGTTTACAGCACTTAAAAGAACCTCATATCTCCCAAGGAGGTCACTGAGCCAAATTACGGACGTTTCCCACCCAACAGCAGTCTCTAATACCTCTGGTAGAGGGAGGAAGCATTATAGATACCTCTCAGCTAGTAGAGCCAGTCTCGCTGGCTGGGCGGGACTGATGGTAGGATATAGAGCCTGGTACAAATCATAGAGGGAAGCACAATGGACCAATACAGGTCTAAATGCATGGGGAAACCCACCCTCTCCAATAACTAACTGACTAACTAAGTAAAGCTATCCCTGTAACAGCCCATGAAGGCCCATAGGGTTGCGAGACGTTGAGAGTTCTATTGTTAATTGGTTCCTGGTCTATTTACGGAGGAAAAGTGGAATAGTGAGAAGAAAGGGGAAAATATGGCCCTTTTCAGGGCCCTGTAACTTTTTCTCACAGGAAGCCTAATATGACATGAGAAGTGGCAAGAGAAGTGTTGGTATCAGCCTGCAAGACTTTAAGGTGTCGCAACAGGAAAGACCATAATATGGACACTCACTGCCTTGAAAACCTCAGAACTTATAATGTTAATTATTGACTTCATCTTGTTTGCAGCTGGTTGCAGAGTTTGGTACAGACCATATTTATAACTGTGACCCATTCAATGAAATGACACCTCACACATCAAATGTGACATACTTCTCTCAAATTAGCAGCGCCATCCTGACAGCTATCACTGATGTGGACCCTGATGCTGTGTGGTAAGTAAACAGACATAAATTTATCCCTGTGTGCCGTGAAGTTGGGGCTGAATGGTCAGCTTCATGCTGGAACCACTTTGGATATGAGGTTGGGCCCTAAAGCAGGTCTGGTCACTGGAGAAGAAATGAATGTCAGCCTATATCAGGAATCAAACCCCAATTCCTTGGTCATACTTTGTGATAAGTAAGCATTTGCATAGAAGCATATAGCTCAGTGACAGAGCAACTCATTTATGTTGGGGCTGTATCTAGTTTGCTGTTGTCCACCAGATTCTGTGGCGCAGCACTGGTCACTCTCGCCTCATATTCAGAAAATCATGGCATGGAGATCTGCTGTTACTTACTTACTTACTTGCTTATTTACTTACTCATGGAGCTGAGCCCTTCTTGAGGAGCTGCCAATTCTGCAGCTACTCAAGAATGTCCCAGCATTTTATGGAACCCAAAATTTATATTTTTCATGGTTTTCTGGAGACTGTCAAGACAAATGCTGGGCTGTCATCTTAACATGTTGATTTTCTTATGTTTTCTGTGTTCAGCTACTTTCAGTCCCCTGAGGGAAATGCTAGAGGACTGTAGATATTCAGGTCATATGATGATGTCCAGACAGTGGTGGTGCTACGCAATGTTCTAGCAGAAGCCCAGAGAATACTTTGTGGAGGGAATGCATTAGCTGCTATGTCATTGGGACACCCCGTGGGGATAGACTGCAGTTCCTACATGCAAACCACTGAAAGAGACAAAGTGTTGTGTCAGTAGACACGTTCGATTTGAACTGCGGAGGGGCGGGGGTTGTTACGACACTGTCAGTAGCTGGACTATGCAGCATCAAATGGTAGGGTGAAAGGATCTTGAAGGAAGTGGTTATGACCTAATTGATGTACCATCCTGACATTTGCTTAAGTGGGTGACTGAGGAAAACAAAGAAAGTCTCAATTAGGATGGCTGGTGCCTCAGCTCAGATTTAAACCTCTCGAATATGAGTCTAGAGCATTGCTGCTGGGCCAACCTTATGAGTGGCTTGATTTGAAGGGAGAATGGCAAACAGTTCCTTTGTGAGTTACTGAGTGTTGCATCTGTTTGTTTAAAGGTTGAAGCAGAACTGGGGGTTTGTTCATGATATGATATTCTGGACCACAGACAAGGTTAAAGCATTCTTAACAGCGGTTCCACCTGTAAGTACAGCACCTGGTTTGGTACGGAACTAAAACAGATGTGTTTCTTTTTGCAGTCGTATGTGAATGTAACTAGGATTAATTAAAAGGAAGCATTATGTATCTTAACCAGACATTAAACTCTTGTGACACATTAACCTGGTATTTAGCAAGTCTCACATATCTTAACCAGACTAATAATATGGTATTATCTTAACCATATTTAGTGAAACCCACCCTTAGGGCTTCTTTGGGTGTCTTTGATCTGAATAGTAAATTGAGGAAAATCTGAAATGGAGGGTCACTGAAAGTGAAACACTAGATAGGGATTCTGCTGTATGGAGAGTGACATGTATTAACCCTGTAACTGCTAAGCTATGCCATACAACTACCTGCTAGAAATGCCAGTGTGACTTGGGGGTAAGTACGGCTGCCCTTAAATTCCTTTCAAACAACAGCAGATATAGATCGAATGAAAGCTGCTTCTTTCCCCAGAACACTGGTGTGTCGCATTTGAGGCCTTCTGTTGACAGAAATGCTCTACTGATCGGTTAATGACAGGCTGTCTCTTTATCTTCATCGGTTTGAATGCAAGTGCCCAGAGCCACTGTACTCAGAACGGGGCCTGCAGAAGTTTCAACATCCAATGAGAACTGATGGTCATGCATTAGTGATTTCAGCAGTATGTAGGAATAGAATTTGTGCTTTGGCTGGTGGATTTGGTACTATCTTCTGTGTATATGATAGTTTTGTACAATGTGTCATACTGTTATTGAAAAGATTTAAGTTTAATCTCATAAATGTGTCATTCTGTGCCAAATGAACACAGCTCACAATCTCAGCTACTTTTATTAGAATGAACTTTCTGTCATGTGACAGTGATGACTGCAGAAAGTACTGTTTTCTGGAATGTGTTTTGTAGACTGGTAAAAGTTCACCAGTGTTTCAGAGGAATTAACTTCCTCCATGTTCATGGTCCAAGAATAACCCATACAGGAAGCAGGCAGCAAGCAGAGTGAGACAGTGCTGCCAGAATACAGGGAATCACATCCCAGAAGGTAGTCCTCTTCAAATTCACCAAATTTCTTCAAAATATATGCATTGTAAGCTGAAATCTGTGGTTGCAGGGCCGAATGATTGTTCTGGACTTGCAGTCAGAGTTGAACCCACAGTACAGGAGACTGCACTCTTACTATGGACAACCATTTATTTGGTGCATGCTGCACAACTTTGGAGGCACTCTTGGTCTCTATGGATCTGTCGGAAATGTCAATACTGTAGGTACCAGTGTTTGTGTTCAGATTGTGGTCCTCTGTGTTGTGACATCATGTGGCTTAGTGAATCCCCTTCTACCCTGAAGACAGAGGCAGAAGATTCTTTGAAAAAGTTTATACCCACACAGAAGACCACATGGTGTCACAACTCAAAAGATATTCACGTAAATTTTCATGACTGTGAAAACCTAGTGTCTTACGGGGCAATTTGTATGTCTTATACAGCTAGAGGGATGATGCGTCTTTGCATAAGGGGATTTATAAAGCAAAGGGTAGAAGAAGACTGGAACATTTCACAGAGTATGAGAATGGGGAACCTGTAGAAATAAAAAATTCCCAGGAAAACAAGAATCCTTTCCCACTTGAAGCAAAAAACACAGTTGAGTGGAACCTCTACTTAAGGTGTTTCTGGGAACCAGTGGATTTGAACACTTACATCAAAGGAACTCTCAGATGGAGGCCATTTAATGCCGAGAGTATGGACTTGGCATCACTGAATTTGAATGTCAAACGAGAGAAGCTTTAAATTGAGGAACGCCAAATGGGGGGGCGCCACTGTAAATATAAATTCAAAATTGAAGCAGAGGATGGGCAGTTTCTGAGAAATATTGATGGCAAAACAGGAAGACACAGAATTTGAAATTAAATTTTTAGGAATAAAGTTTGGATTCAAAATCCATTAGTAAGCTTTAAAAAGACACAGAAAGGTTTCATTGGTTTGGCCATTCGAAAGGGCTGTATCGAACTAGGATACAGAGAGGGCATTAGGATTAAAAACATGACAGTAAGAAATATTTCTTGGCATTAATTATTATTTATTGTTTTCATTATGAAGACACTTTATCCAGTTTCTTAAGGAATTACAAATTAGGAGCACCTACAGGAGCATGTAAAGTAAAAGGTAAAGTTGTCCCTGTGCTTAACTAATTAAGCGCTACATCATGAAGACGTATGTTGAGTGGATGTATAGATTCACATCTCTCTTGCAGGGTGTGTTTGATGGTCGAGGTTTGGAGAATGGTACAATGGTAGGCACTGGGCTGACCCCTGAAGGCATCAATCAGAACTATGTGATGTATGATCTGATGAATGAAATGGCATGGAGGACAGAGCCAGTGAACCTATCCGAGTGGTAAGCCCCTACTCCCAGACTTCATTTCCACATTTTTTTAATTGCTAGTGGGCTGGGACTAAGTCCCTTGTTCTGCGGCCACTTCTGGCCTATTGTACCAACCCCAGATGATAGGTCAGGGTGATTGTGGAGCAATTGGTGCAATGAAGATTGGCAGGGGAAACCGAAGTACCTGGAGAAAACCTGCCACAGCGACACTTTGTCCACCACAAATCTCACTTCATCAGACCCGGGATCGAACCCGGGCCACCGCAGTGAGTAGCCAGCGACTAACCGCCTGAGCTATGGTGCGGCCTTTCCACAATTTACTTAACTGTCTGGTAATAGAGCCTGAAGGTTCAACACGATAGTGAAAATCCTGGCCGAAATTTAAACTGAACACCTCCCAAATATGAGTCTGGAGCATCGCTGATATGCCACTCTGCTTGGTTCCATTGTCATGTTGTTAGGTTGCTCCTTGATCTCTGTTCGTTCCCTCATGAGCCCTTTCTTGTGCCTTGCTTTTGTGGCTGGGATACTGCTGTTGAGCAGGACGGGATGACTGGGGCCAGTGCGATACTTTGTGACAGTTTTTTACTGGCATAATTATACGGGCTTCTCTTTCAGGTTTTCTGCTTATGCCAGGAGAAGATACGGGGCAGTAGACACACATGCAGACAATGCTTGGCAGCTGCTGAAGGTAGCTCTCGGCTTCATACATCTTTCATTTTCTTTCTGTTCTTATGTAGGATGTGTTGCAATCAAGCCTGTACATCTGTCTGTCTTCCCAAAACTACTAATCAGTTTCCTTCCTTTATTTCCTTTCTTTCTTTGCTTTCATGCTGGTATCTTTCTCAGCTTATTCTTTGAACCTGAAGATGGAGGCAATGCGTTCTTCCGAAACGTCGTTTGACTTTCGACAGACTATGTGGCATTATGTCTCAGAAAATGGTACTCTTTGTGTTATTTTCATATTGAAAATATTCAGAAATCTCTCATCCAACATTATTGAAGATATTATTGCGGTGATTCACATGCTTAGTCAAGTTAGGCAAGGATTACATTTTTGCAATATTAAAGTTAGGGTTCTCAAATTAGAATATTGCCATAGTACCATGGTACCAAGAGTTCTGAAATCATATATTTCTGGACAGTAAACCGATAATCTGATCATCACCCCCATTGCTACTGGTAATTGTAAAGTCTGCAGTTCCCATGCAGCAAAACTTAAAATAATATTTTCTACCTACAGCAGTGTTTACAGAAACATAGTTCTGTAGAAATATATGTTATTCAGTTATGCCCAGAAATGCATATATTCTGTTTAGTGCAGTTGTAATTGTGTACACTTTGCACTTCATCAGTTTGGTTTCTATGCTGTTTGAAATTCTCAGGGCAGCGACCATGAGGATACTGCAGTTTGGGATGTGTTGCTGTGCAGTCTGGTAGATATTCTTGAAAAAATGGCCCTTCATAGGGCCACTGTTCCCCTACTATGTTTCTCCTAAGTGTCCTCCACCTCCTGTTGATTCATTCAGTTCCAGACACTACTACTTGAAAAATGACCCTCTAAATGGCATCAGTTTCCTCTGACTTCCCTCAGACTCTTACTGGTTGCTCAGAACTGTTATTTCCCCTGTGCACTTGCCTTGGGAACCAGCCAATTAGATGGTCGATATTTATTTGCTGTTGTTACTCTTCCTGTTCCGTCTAAAGCCCTGGCATAGACCTCCCTCTCCATGATAGATTTAACCCCCTACCCTGAACATTGAGGCAGCAGGATCTTCGGGACTACACACTGTCATGTCCCAGGAGACTGATCTTGTTTTATTGTTTATGAGTTTCATAAAAGAGTTTGTGTTCCTTTGTTTGCCCATTGTTTGCTGTGTATTGAAACCAAGTTTTGTGTTTATGCTTTCATGTCTGTGGTCATATTGTAAAGAGATGACCTTGTGTTTGCAGTCCGGTGTGTACAGTTTCACTGGGATGAGGAAAGTACGAGGGAAGTATGTTATCTGTCGTCGACCCAGCCTTCAACTTCGTCAATGGGTAATCTTACAATTTGCTTCTAGCAGTAAATTATTTATAACTAATGATATCTTTATGTCTGCCTAACGTAGAAATACATAACAGCTCTGCTTGCCACCTGCTTTCACTCTGGTTTCTTGTGTGGCTTATTCTTAGACCCTGAAGATGGAGACAACGTGTTCCTCCGAAACTTTGGTTGACTTTCAGTGTACTTCATGACATTATACCCCGGAAGCTTGAACTCTTCATAACCAAGGCTGTGAAAACCTCAGATCCTACATATAACAATTGTGTAAATGAAAACTGTTCATGAATTGTTCTAAGTGAAGGAGTAGATGCTATTAACGAAGGTCCCCATGATCGCTTAGGAAGACATCCTGTTGATACACCAGCTGATGGCTCCCCTCCAGAAGTGTCTCCTCAGACTTCTACCTCAGTCTCAAACCACTGCAGCCGTGACATCTTCTTGTGTTGGGATGCTACCGTCCCTTGGCTCTTTCTTGATGGGGCCTAACCCTGAAGATGGAGCAGCATATTCCTCCGAAATGCCGATACCTGCCAACTGGACCACATGGTGTCATAATCTGGAGGGTCACTTCTGTGAGAAACTCATGCTAGTGTAGGTTGCCATTTCCTGGTGGTGCCCTAGTGTCAGTGCGCTGCCCTCACTGATGTGAAACATGAAGTTCCAATAGCTTGTTTAATTTCTGACCTCTGAGATGGAAGCATTAGCTCCTTAAACTGTGTGCATTTCATTAGCTGTCTATCTGGTTCTGCATTTAACAGTGTAAAACTGTCGTAAGGTAAAAAGAATGGCTAAATATCATGATTCTGGAGCCGGGATAGTGCAGTTGGTATAGTGACTGGATGCGGGCTGGATGACAGAGGGGTCAGAGTTCGAGTCCCAGTAGGTTTAAGAATTTTGCCCTGGGGTAAAGTGGCTGAGGCGTGAAGCTGACCGCTCACCTCCAACTAGTGCTAAGGTAAAGAAAATGTGGATCTATACATCCACTCCCCCATACACCTTAATGGCATAGTGCATAACTAACGAAGTACAGGGACAGCTTTACTCTACTTTTACATATCATGGTTTGTACACATTTCTTTGAACCTGGAACTGCATGTTTGACAGCCCAGGTACCCCTGAATGTTACCTGTACACCAGTTTCTCAGGGGCTGTGTGCCTGTGTGAGGGGAGCAGATGGTACTCACCCAGTAAACTTACAGATTGCCCATTTCAGAACTGTAAACAGAATGTTTGTGTTCCCAACCAGGTATGGTACAATACAACAGAACTGGCAACTGCCTGGGATGAACTGCTGAGTGCTTCACCTCAGCTTCATGGTGCCGCAAACTATCAACATGATCTAGTTGACGTAACTCGACAGGCCTTGCAGGTGCTTGGTGGTGATCTCTACAACATCATAATGTCTGCTTTCAGGCAGGGAAATGTCTCAGGCTTCCAGTATGTTCACTATATGTAGACACAGGGAGGGATATAAAGAATCAGTTGGGCAGGATAATATTAAAATGGATTTAAAGAAATAGGATTTGGGGGTGGACTGGATTCATCTGTATCAGGATAGGAACCAGTGGTGTGTGTCTGACATAGGCAGATGGCTGGTATTCACTGTAGTAGCATTTGTTGCATTTAGTATCATCTGTTTGTGTCAACTAAGTTGATAATTTTTGCAGGAAGGTAAAGATTGGATGCCCATGGAGTTAATCCTGAATAGGCGTCAAAAGATTGTAACTGATAGTTTAAAGCAGTTTTTTTTTTTTTTTCAAAATGTCTTTTCCCCACTTCACATGGCCATAAGGCTCTCTTTTGGTGGCTGCCAAAATGCTAATGGTTGTCTACAACACAAATAAATTGATAAGAAAGGCCACATAAAATTACAAACATGGAATATAATATTTTGTGGGTTAGTTTGCAGTGCTTTCAGTCTAAACTGTATAGCATCAGATAACAGGATGACAAATTGTAAAGGATTTGAAAGGAAGCAGTTGTGACCTAATTGAATTAATATCATGGTATTTGTCTTGAGGAGGTCTGAGGAAGACCAGGAAAACCTCAGTCAGGATAACCAGTGCTGTCCTGGTGCCAAGTGCCTCTCCAAATGACTTACAGTGGAATGCCTGGTGTACCTTCATGGCATAGTGCTTAATTAGTTGAGCACAGGGACAACTTTACCTTTTTTTTTGCCCATCTCTAGCTATGGCTCTTATGCAGTCTTCTGCTGATCCGCTCATGTACATCAGAAATCTTTATACATCCTAGGAAGTCATGATTTTACTGAATGTGCACACTGCTTTGTAAGTACAGCTGGATAAAATGATGATGACAATGACCATGATGGTGATTGAACCACAGCTACAACTACAACATTCTGTGCCATCTGTTCTCAAACTCTGTGGTTAACCTATATGCACCACCATTGGTCTCTCTGTGAACCTGTTGCAATCTTATGTGGAGGGGATGTTACATTTCTTTTTTATGTATGTGGAGAAAAATCACATTTAAAGTCATCTTTTTTTGGTACAAAGGTAATTTTGGGTGAAAGGAATTTAGAAACCAGTGGTTAGAAGCTCCACTCATTTGTTGCAGAGTATATGCTTTGAATTAATCACATTTGTTCCCTTAATCACTTATTGTACAGTGCCTCTGTTGTGTCCCCTGTTATAGGCAGAGTGCTAAGCTGTTTCTGAACCTGTTGGCAGACCTGAATGTGTTGCTAGGTTCAAATAAGGACTTTCTCCTGGGACGATGGCTGAAGGCTGCAAAAGCTCTCGGCACTACTGCACAAGTAAGCGCATTATAATCTTGTGTTGCAAGTATTGTCTTTTAGTTTATTCTGCAATCAGTTTATTTCATGATTTTGTTGCTATATGGTGCCATGTAGTCTTCTAGACAGGTATCACTGTTTCGAAAGAACCAACTTCACCAAAACATGGGTACTCTCGCGATTTAGGGGTGACCATAGATGGGGTTTGGACTGATGACTCAATTTATTGACCACTCAGAACTACAAATAATTATGACACTATCTTCACAATTTACAAATCACCACAGCACCTGCTAAGCATTTTTCCAACCTGCTATTTCGTCATCAGCCATTCCTTAGCAACAGCTTCTAACAGTGGAGATTCTTCAGTTTCACGTGTTCAGGTCATATCTTCACAGCCTCCTATACAGAACTGAATATCAATTAACTTTGTCCCTTGCTTGTAACATCTCGGCATGGACCATGTAGAAAACCCTGTTCGTTCTTATATGCTAACCATTTCTGGTGGTACATGTTTACCGAGCTGTTCCCTAGCATAGGTCATCTGTTCTTGCTTATTAAGAATCTACTGCTTAACAATGGGTGTATAGACCACATTACCTATCAACTAAGTTACATGCCATGATATCACAGAAGACCATAATTCTGATATTCACTGCTGTGAGGATGTCAGCTGTAACATTTTATTTCATAACTTCTTCTGTACCACCATTTCCATTTCACAAAGTCCTGCGAACGAAGAGTTTTCAGTCCCCTCCCACTGGTCCTTCATGTTTGAGTTTTTGCCAGCTCTCTTTCCTTTCTTTGTGTTCCCTTCCGTTACGTGGCAAGTCCCTTTGTTGTAGTTTGGTACACTATACTGTGGGTCTTAACCTTTTAAAGTACAGTGGTTACTATAAGTACTGCCTGCTCTGATATTCAAGAGCACTGCATTCTGCCCGCACAGTGTATTCATGTGTTGCATATAGTCCCCACAATAAACAGGGACTGTTTCCATAAACAGCATTAACCAGTTGGTCTTAATCAACAGAGATGCAGCGTGCGTCCTGCAAGATCATGCCTGAATGTGTGACTGATTTAGAATAAACTGCTTCAAAGGCTTAACATGCAGCAGTTTTGAAAATGATATGTATCATATGACATGTTCTTGTTTTCAGGAGAAGCAGTTATATGAGTACAACGCTCGTAACCAGATCACACTGTGGGGCCCCCGTGGTGAGATCGTTGACTACGCCAATAAACAGTGGGCAGGTTCGTCCACATTCTTATGACTAATGCCTCCAACAGAAGTAAAGGTAAAGTTGTCCCTGTGCTTAAGTAAACACAGTGTCATTAAAGTGTATGAGGGAGAGGAGGTTTGAGTCCATGGATACGTCACCTCAACTCTAAATGGATGTGAGTTGAAACTGTGTGCTTCGGCTTCATTACTCTTTTGGAAAGGCCCTCCAGTATCCAAGGTTTAAGAGGCTTGATAGGCTTCAGAGCCAGTCTGGATGCCATGGAGAAGTGGAAAAGTATCTTGTCCCTTCTGGGAATTGAATTTCCAGTTACTGTGTTATCCTATCACTCAAATGGGTCTCCACGGTGATTGATTTGGGTACTCTTGAGTGGGTTAGTGTAGTTTCCACATCTGTTTATTTGTTATCATTTGCTGTTTCTTGTTGGACATTGCTTCTAACTTTCATTCAAGTGATTCATCTCTTGTCCAGGACATGGACTATCTTGACTAAGGATTTTCGTGGTTTTTCTTAGACCTTCCAGGCAAATGCCAGGCTAGTACCTTACAAGTAGATTCTAAAGAGTTCTGACAATGGTGTATAACACTCAGAATTACTGGGTTATGGACTTTGTCATTGTCTGGTATTCTAGAAACTAGAATAAACCTTTCGGAAACTGGGTCTGTTTATGTCCTCAGATGAGGGGGAATGGAAGACTCCTACTCAGTTAGGTCCCTTAGAAAGAGCTAATCTCACTCACTGGACAGCTCCATCAGATTCACTACAGCTATTTAATCACCCGAGACCAGGCTGTGGTGAATCTGACAGGAGTTGTCAGTCATTTAATACTCTATATATTCTTGAGTTACTGATGACAATGTTAAATAAATTATAAATACAAAAAGATACTTATGATTATTTTGGTATCACTGTTCAGGTGTGGTGTCCCACTACTTCCTGCCTCGTTGGAATCTGTTCCTCAACGCTCTCAACACTTCTCTAGTCACTGGCACTCCCTTCGACCAAGCACGCACTACTCAATGGATTTTCACAGAGGTGGAGGAGTTGTTTGTTCTTGACACTACAACATTCCCAACAAGCCCAGAAGGTAACTTAAGACCACTGGTTGTGGTAACGTTTTGTCTTGAACCCAGGAGATACCAAGTTCAAATCTCGGCCAGAACATTGACTATGCTCTATGACAGGTTTTTAGCTTTTTGCCTCATGTTTTCTGATCATAATGTTTATGTCAATTTTGCAGGTGACAGCATCGCAATAGCCATGGATATTCATGCTCGCTGGCGTAATCACTTTGTCACACAGCGATCACAGCGCAGGTTCCGACATCGTGGAAGATCTTCACTCACTGTATCACCTTCCCAATCCCTTGTCTTCAGCTTCACTGCAGAAGTGTCATAATGTACATTGAAGTACTGCACATCCAAGAAGCAAGTTTCCAAATGCTATATTGTGTGGCCACAAATAGTAATGTCTGTTCCTGTGTTGGAGGTTTGGGTCTTGCCACATTCAGTACAGATTTGACCGCATGTATTCCCTTTCCTTCACCTCTGCAGAAGATGTTCTGCAATACCCTGAAAGTCATCAAAATTTCAGTGCAAAATTGTTAAAAGTGGACTTCATCAGAAATATTTGACATCAATAATTTGTAAACTTCTGGAAAGACAGATACATTTATACTAAGATACTGAACTGAATAACTGAATAACAGTATGCACTAATTGGTGCTGTCATCTAGAGGAAATGTTCTCAGGAAGTTTGCTTTTGAAAAGAGAACCAAGGAACTCCACAGAGCTGAGTCCTTATTGAGAAAACAATAGTTGCTCAGCTACTCAAGAATTTCTCAACATTTTATGGAACCTGAAGGTTCATTACCATGTTTACTAGAGCCCTCCACTGGTTCCTATTATGAGTCAGATCAATCCAGTTTCTACTATCCCATCTTATTTCTTTTAACATCCATTTTAACATTATCATCCAACCTATGTCTAGGTCCTCTGTCTTTCCCACCAAAATTGTATATACATTCCTCTTCCACCTGATGCATGCTACATGCACTGCACATCTCATCCTCCTTGACTTGATCATCTCAATTATACCTGACAAAGAGTACAAGTTATGAAAGTTATGAAGCTCTTCATTGTGCAGTTTTCTTCAACTTCCTCTCATTTCATCCACCTGTCATCCAGGTATTCTCCTCAGCACCATGATCTCAGATATCATTAATCAACAGAGATACTTTTTTCAGTTGCAACTTGACCCACCGTAACAGTCGGTGGTTGAGTAGACCCTGACAAAGACACATAGCTGTCATTTCCTTCCCATGTGTATGTATTTTGTAATCTTCCTTCGTATTTATATGCAAATTATAGTGAATGATCTCAGATGCGGTAAATAAGCAGAACTTACGAAGTAAATGTTTCCCATTGCCTGCTACAGTACTCCCAGACATCTCCTCCACTGATCCACTCATGTCCTGTGAACAGAGGTCAATATTGCGATGTTGACAAAAGTCAGGTATCTCACTGCTGCCTGGTGGTTTTATTTGTAACAACTAGCAACTCTGATTGCTACAGAATGACAGGATGCTTACCATCTGGCAGTGAGCACATTACATCACTGTATGTAGTGGTGTCTGTGTACAAGACATGTCATCTGTTTGCAACTTGCCAGTGAAAATATGCTTACACTCTTAATAATGTTATATTTTAGCATCCTGTTGCACTGATTTATGTCCATGATTTATTCTGACCGTCTTACAGTGCATACATTTATTCACCTCACTCTTCTCTCTTGCACTACATGTTTCAGCACTAAAGTGCCATCTTCATGTGCTTTTCTATGTACTTCGAACTACTTCATTGCATGCCCTGTTGGGTGAATAAATGTAAGACGGTCAGAATAAATCATGGACATGCTTACACTCACTTAAAGTAAACCAGTTTCTTTCACTAATTAATAAGGAATTCACCAGGAAATGCACTGTACAGAAGCAAATTGCCATAAATGTTTCACCTATATTTGTGATGCATAAGGCAAGGTGACAGCACAGGCGAACCTAGCAGGTGCCTGGGGTGACACATTCTGTAGCTTCCATGTTTATGAGTCTTCTTATTGCAAGGAAATTAATTTCTGATGCTTTTTTTTATCTGTCAGTGATGCTGTGATTTCTGTGACCAGATGTTGAATTTTTATTGCTGCTTCCATGATTCGTGTTTTAATAATTACAGTGCAAATGGCAGTTTTCATCGCAGTGTCTGGAAATTATTTGTTGTTGTCTTGAAGTTTATAGAAAGATTTTTTTTTTTTGAGGTTTATTTTACAGCACTGCAGGTATCGAGACTGAACAGCATAAAGTGGGAAGGTGATAGGTGAATGAATTGAAAAGGATTTGGAAGAAAGTTATGGTGGCCAAATTGAGATGCTATCCTGGAATTTGGCTGGTGGAACTGAGGAAAACCATGAGGACCCTCAATTATGAAAACTGGTGTCCTGGCTAAGATTTGAACTCAGCTCTTAGAATGCTGCTGCTAGAGCAGTGTTTTGGATTGAATAAGTTGATTTTATTTGGTGTTGGAGAGAGGGAACTTGTCATCATCTGGTGTGGGGTTTTGGCTGCACCAACCCTGACTTCAGTTAGTACACATCTACCAAACTACAAGATGAAATAACTTAGAAGAACACAGTATGAATTATGAAGGTTTCCAAACCACTGTGCATTTCTTATCTTGATTACATGCTAAATGTGCCAGTGATTTAGTGCCCTAATAATATTGGGTGGGCTACGTGCTGGACAGCCAAGGTGTCAGAGTTTGAATACCTGTGGGGGCAGGATTTTTATATTCTCCACATTGTCCAGACCAGTTCTGGGGCCCACCCACATCCACTCCCACATATGTCTTCATGGCATAGTGCTTAGTTAAGCACAGGTCCTTTACACCACTTTTTTTTTTTAAATAATATAGGGTGAAGAGTACAAATTACGAAGGTTCTTGCTGTGTGATTTTTTTTCATACTCTTATGTCTTCTTCCTGAGGTCCCAATAATTTTCTTCTTCTTGTGTGATACTGAACTGAATGCACCTGTGGATGATCTTAGTCACAACTGGCTGACTCCAGTGCATGAATTTCTTATCCATCTCCTCTCTATTGATGTTTTGGTCGGCCCTGAGCAGGTTGTGGAAACGACAGGATAGTTACACACTTTCTCAGGGCCTTGAGAAAAAGGAGTTTGTTTGTCATTGCATATCAGTGGGGGTCCAAAAAAAGGGTAATCTTTTTCTGTTCTCATCCCATTTTCCCCTCTTGTGACAAAAGAATAATACTGTGGCCCACAAAAGGGCTGTATTTGATTTCTCCTATACAGCAAAAATATGTATTGTGACTTCACAAAAAAAAAACTTTTCCTGCTAATCATTCCTCTTGGTCTAGCCCCCTCCCATGAATCTGAGTGACCACCTTTATTTGGAGCATGGTTATAATAACCCAACACATTCCTCAGCCTACACACATCAATCCCAAAGCTGGAAGCGTCATGTTCCTCCTGAATGTCAGCATCCACCTGCAGCACTAAATGGTCAAAACTGGAATATCCACTTGTGTTGTATTTGTTTTAGTTGGTGAGAAGTCAGTTCTGTACATTGAAAGAATAATCAATGGACACTATAGGGCTTTGCTGTTATTACACACACAAAGGGACATTTGTGTGTTCACATCTGTAGCCTGCCCAATTGTAACAGAGCACAGTAAAAGAATAATAGAAACTTGATTTTGGTGCAGTTGCCATCTTGCTGAAACATTGAAGTATTTCAAGAAAGCAGTCTTCTGGGATGTGGCACCGTGTAGATGTGGTGTTAACCGACGTTTCAGAGGAACGTATCGCCTCCATCTTCAGGGTAGGAGGAGAAATAGGAAAATCTGCAAGTGAAGAGAGAGTGAGAACAGGTGCAAACAGACTAATGCTGGGAATAAACTCAGCTATATGAGAGCAGGGAAGGGAGGGAAGAAGTCTACATGGGAAATCAGTGGAGAGGGAGAGGGGAAAGGGTCTGGGACAGGAGCAAGGTTAGAGCAGGTATAGGTGCCACAGTGCCACATCCCAGAAGACTGCTTTCTTCATAGTCACTGCCGTGAAAATCCCAAATCTTACATTGAAGTATTTGTTTCTGAGTAGAATGGTCAGTTATGACTGTTTAACAAGACCGATAACTGATATGTATGTGTGTGTGTATGTATGTATGTACATATGGAGGGGGGTCTTTGTTCAATTGACGTCAACAGTTACAAAGTTTAATGTATGTTTGGAGACAACTCTTGATAGCTGAATGTCCATGTTTGGAAATATATGTATAACAGTGCCTTTATTCAGTTATCTCCCTAACCATACGATGTTGGGAGAAAGTTACTGAATATGAAAGTCGGTGCTCTGATAACTCTTACTCAAAACTATTATTTCCCCTCGGCTCTACAGGTCAGGGTGAGCTTTGACCTCCTGAACAATCTGCCTCAATTCTTCTCTATTCTTCATCTTTCTCCCCATCCTTTCACTTTAATTTAATAGAGATCATCATTCAAATCCTCCAGCCATCCCGGTTCCTTCGCTGATGTCAATTTCCATTCCATCCATCCAAGGCTGATTGCCAGGTTTCTGAACAATTTAGTGCTTATGGTGTGAGGTTGTTAGCCCCACGCCCAACCTCCAACCTGGAGGACCAGGTTATCTCTTTTCATGTGGCTCCTACCCCTCAACTTGTCTGGCATGGGTGATTCTACCAGTAGTTCTGCTACCGCCAGCATAGCTCTCGAGGTCTCAGGAGCACTCAAACCGCTCAAACCCCACCACCAAGATAAGGTGGAGACACCATCAGTGGGGGTGTATAAGATTAAGAAACTGAAAAGCGACCAAGGCCCAGCAAAGGGCTGTAGAGCCACAGATACAAGAAAGCATTATGCCTTCATGTAAAGAAACTGTTAATTGTGTCCAGTTTTAACCAAAATTGTAATTTGTAAGCAATTTTACGAAACACCTCTATCTGGATTTGCTTTACATAAACGAATGGGCCGTGCGCAGTTTACTGGCGGGGGGATTACGAACAATCTTTTAGAATCTGTGAGTAGGTTGATTTAGTACTAACGCATAGGACTACTAGGTTTGAATCCGAGTCGCGTCAGCATTTTGTGACCAAGCCGTCGCATTCCAGTGGGCGTCAGTATTTTCAAACAGGCTAAGCCGACAATCTTTCGAGTTCAGAGCCAGGCGACCCTCATTGTTCACGTAACGTACATAATATTGTAAATTACAAACCGAGGATACAGATGTTTCAGTTAGGTCTGACATTAATTAATATGGGGCAGAATGACTGTCATCGAGACCTGAAATTTATCGTCATTACCGCTCACAATGAACAAGAAAAAGACAAAATAAAGCCATTTAATTTCACTGAACCAAGGAAGTTGTCAAAGTAATTATTTTCGTGGTCAGCTTAGATGGCAGCATTCTCGAATAATGATAATATTTGGTTTATCACGTTAACGCAGTCAATTTAGGGTTAAAAAGGAAAATATGAACTGTAAAGTAATGGAATATATGGAGAATATCATATTTTAAGAATATAAGAGTTTTACAGTCTCCTCAACTGTCTTGATACGAAACACGACTTCAAAGAAATACGACTCTAGCGGTTTCATACCTGTGGCGTGCCCGTGGATTCTGTACTCTGTGAACTGAGCAAGGAAGTTGAGAACTTCGAGAACTTGCGTCCAATTCATCCAATCTTTATTAGTAAGATTAGAGGTGTGACATTGAATTTTTGAGATGTGTGAATATATATTGTGTAGTGTTTGCCTATGAATGTGGCAAGGTTGATAGCGATTATAAAGTAGAGTGCTTATATTTTACTATTGAAAACATATTAAAAACAAGGTAATTATTACGTACTTTCATTGCCAATCATACAGAGTTGGCCGTATTGGAATATGAAGAAGACGGTTGTAAGATGAAGTACGTGGGGCAAGGCTGGAGTATTTTTATGAATTTGGCCGTTAGGAACAAAATCCACTTCTATTTAGTGGTATTCACATGATGCTGTTGCAGAAACCCCACATGAGACATGAATGCAGCTGATGGCATGAATGGGGAGGCTAGTGCCAGTAATGTGGAGCAGAATAGAGAGAGTGTAAGTAATAGTCCCAAACACAATGACTGTGGAAAACACTGTAACCTGGCAGTTGGTGGTGCACGACCAAAAGTGAAGAATTTAATGTGTAACATTCCTAATGGTATTAGCCCCCATCTGACAGAGGATGCTGCTAAAGTGAATAACAATGTGTTGCCACCAGACAATTTGGAATCAGAAGTGAATGATTCAAATGCTTCATGTTCAGGGATAAGCATACTGCAGAATGGGTTGAACTTGAATTGTGCTAATCATGTGGAAGAAACAAATGGCATAGATTCATATTTGCATAACAATGTAAACTATCACGCAGCAGTGGATAAGTGCCCATTGAAGGTGAGAAACTGCTCAAACAAGGACAATTTAGATCTGTTGACCAAATCTAACGGCTGTTATCGCCCCGAATTACAACATGGTGGTATTACCAGAAGGTGGGATGACTTAGACGATAACTCCAGTGACACTGGGAATGAGGGGGAAGATGGTCTGTCTGCAGATGAGTGTTGCATCTACACATACAAGGGAGATCAGATGGCTGATCTCCCAAGTTCTTTTTTTACTCTTGATGTGTTAGCGCGGGGTGGGGACCAGGGCCCAGGTGGAGAGGGTGCTAGGAAGGAAGATGGTGATATTGAGGGTAGGGGTGGTGATAGAAATGGTGGGGGTTCTTCACCAGAGATGGATTTTCTGGAGATGGATTTCGATCCAGGCCCTTCATGTGAGCAGGACTCGGAAGAGGAGTCGGACTGCTGTGATATTCAGGATGAGGAGGTGGCAGGAGTGTACCCTGGACATGGCTTTGAACCAAATCTGGAGGTGGACTGTGTGGCAGATAGCCATGGTCATAATGACCTCAGTGCCGCCTCACAAGATAATGACCTCAGGAATGTGTCTGCCTCTGCACTTAGTGCCATTAATACCTCAGAAGAACCGCCTGCTGCTCAGTCACCCTCCCCACAACCAACATGGGCGTTACCTCACAGTCGAAGTAGTGATGCAAATCTTGGAGCAGGGACAGCGTCCACAAATGTTCATCGCCCTGCTGGGTGCTGGCCAGCTCGTGACTCATGGGGTCATCACTGTACCAGTGGTGATCTATGTTCACCAGGTGAAGCTACTGACCTGGAATGTGAGACATATGGTGACACTCTGGTGATGTGGAAAGCTGGCAACCTTAGGGTGCAGAACGAAGGGGGGATGGTGGATACGCGGAAGTACAATCTGAACTCTGCGTTGTACCATTGCATTATGGCCAAGAGACTGGTCCTCGAGAAACAGACATCCTTCTCCTCTGATGGCGATGAGTCCAATGTGGTGAGTGCTTGGCAGATAACATAAGAGTTATTAGTTCGTAAAATAACTTAGCATATGAAGTTGTATTGAGGGAAGTGGCATGGTGTTTGGTAGAAGTTTACAGACTTTTAGGAGCAGTGTTTTGCCTCTGTGGTGTAGTGGTCAAGAGTTCCTGGCTACAGATCCAGAGGTCCGGGTTCGAGTCCCGGAGCTACCAGATTTTTTCTGAGAATTAGTGGGCCTGCAACGGGGTCCACTCAGCCTTCTGATGATGTCCATGATGTGTATGTCTTGACCATCTTCTAGTGCACACAATCTCACCTGTCACTTCACTACATGTTTCGGCACCACTGTGCCATCCTCAGGTGAGTTATTTACATTAAACTATTGCACTGCTCGCCATCATGTGTCGTTTGTAAAATGATTTAAAATGTATATTCATCATGTACTATAATAAAATTTATATATTAAAATTTTTGTCAAGATTTATCATCTTATACGTCGTATTTCAAACTCGCGTATTATATCAGTCTTCCGCTATGGGAGTTGTTCTTCCTATATTTTGTGTATACTGCGTCTTGTGATGTGTCCTTCTCTTGTGGTTGCGTGCGTTGTATTCTGATGATAATTGAGGAGCAATTTCAAGGAAATAGCTGCTCTGGTACAGAAAACCGAAATTAACGGCTGTGGGGATTCGTTGTGCTGACCACGCGACGCCCTCTGTCTGCAAAAGTTGGCACTAACTTCACCGACAAGCAGCGGTCACTCGGTCGGTCTAGTTCACTTGCGGACTAAAATCATGGAGTTTGTTTTGTTTTGTGCTGCCTTGTCTGCTGGGTCAGAGAGTAATCTGAGGAGCACGATCCTCTAAAAGGTCGCTAACCTTGCACCAGACTACACATTGTCACATCACAGATGATAATTTCTTTAGTCACTGTTGTGAGAACCGCAGATCCCTATGGGGATGGCACTTGATCGTACATAACTATGTGACGTAGGAAGGTGATGTACAGGAAGGGGTTACCATTGTGAGTGCCTTTCAGGAGGGACAGCTTGATGGCAGTCCAGAGCAAGTGCGGCTTTCACAAAAGAGGACCATGATCTGGTCAGAGCAAGAAGCATGTGTGAAGCAAGTGACCCAGATCTCCACATCAGCGTGTGGGGCCACAGCTGCTATTAATGTTCTGGTAAAACTTTTTCATATTTATTTATTTGTAAACTACAAATTCCTTTCATTTCTTTCTTTTAACTGAAACTACAATTGCTTGACTTTGTATGTACCACACACATCATTTGGGGTAACAGCCTATAAAACTCTCAGACTGTTCCTGGACCATAGTTATAATTGGCTTTTAAGAGGAGCTAGCATAATGTCTGTTGTAATTTCATTGGCGAATTGTTGCAGTTATCATAATGATTACTGAATTTTGACCATAAACTCTAGTGAGAAAACAATTTCTGTACATCATAGCCTTCGAGAGACTGCATTTTATTGCTGTCATCATCTGCGCATATTTGTAACTACTACCATCTGGATGCTAACCTACCTGATGTTAGAATATCAAGTATTAGCCTTTCATACATAAGGCAGTACCAACTAACACCATGGGCTCAGTCCTTAAGAAACCAGTAGTTTCTCAGCCACTCAGGAAGTTCCCAGTGTTTTATGGAATCGGAAGGTTTGTTGCCATGTTCACAAGGGACTGCCACTGGTCCTTATCCTAAGCTAGATGAGTACAGTTCACATCTGCCCATCCTGTTTCCTTAAGAACCATTTTAATATTATCCCCCCCTCTTGTTTAGGTCTCCTAGTGGTCTGTCTCCTTTAGGATTTCCTACCAAGACTTTGTAAGCATTTCTCCTTCATGCATGCTTCACGCCTTGTCGATCTCATCCTTGATTTGATTATTCTGATAATATTTGGTGAGGGGTACAAATTGTGAGGCCCCTTATCATGCCGATTTCTCCATCCTCCTGAGCACCCTGTTCTTGGATACCCTCAGTCTGTGTTCTTCCTTTTATGTAAGAGGCCAAGTTTCATACCCATACAAAACAACGGGCAAAATTATAGTGTTATATTTTAATCTTTATATTTTTGGATAGCAGGTGAGAAAATAAAAGATTCTGAACTGAATGGTAGCAAGCATTCCCAAAATTTAATCTGATCTTAATTTCCTCATGAATGCAATTTTAATTTGTTAGCATTGTTCCCAAATATTTGAACTTGCTGTATTTTCAAAGCATCTGTGACTATCTTAATGTTATGATTTTGGGACGAGACATCACCATGTACATAGTTTTCTCTGTGGTTGCTTCTAGACCAGTCTCCATGTGGTCCTCTGTTAGAACTTTGTGTCTTCCCATTCACTTTCAGACTTGCCTTATTGCCTTGGACTTTCCTAATGGTATATTGAAGAACAGTGGTAATAAATCATCATCATTGTTTCACACTATTTTGAATATGCAGCATGTCAGAGAAATGTATATCTGTATGGACTTTACTGTATGTTTCATTTAAAAGCAGTTTAATTAGTCTAACTACATTCATGGATATACCACATTCAGTGACAATATAGTACAATATTTCTCTCCGTAAGTTCCAAAGAATCCATCAGAGTCCAAGGCTTTTTGTGATATTTTATAGTGGGCTCTTTTTTTACAGTGAGGTATTGTTAGCCAGGCGGTCAACCCCTTGTTGGCTGTCTCCAACTGCATGTTAAGTATATTGACAGCTATCCCCTATATCTGGAGGCCATTTCCTCTGTTTGCAGTGCGAGGACGCGCCATGTCGTGGTAACGAGACACAGTAAACGTGGATAATGCTATCTATGTGCCTCTAAGAGAGATTTACTCTCTTTGATTGCAGTTAGCATGCAACATCCCTTTCTCCCTGGATCGAGTGAAAGATGGTGTAAACACTCGGTTAAGAGCCGAGTCAGCTCCTCTACCTGAGTATCTGTTCTCGAGATCAGTCGCAGGTGCATCTCATGTTGATATTATCCGTGGCCTTGAGCTAGCCTCTGAAGGGTGTTTGTATGGTCGTTTCTTCTGTATGTACCCTGACCGTGTTGTCTCTTTGACACGCTGGCTTTCATATTGGATGAAGAAAGGTATGTTTACTCTGAGGGTTATAAGTTTTGAGGTTTTCACAGCACTGAGTGTTTGAATGGTGGTCTTCAGAATTATGGCACATGTTCCTCAAGAACATAAGTACACAGGTAAAAGTAAGCGTACTTAATTAGTAAGAGGGTATTTATGTATTAATGTGCAACCCACATAACTTTATAACTTTACTGCCATTTTGTCACTTCAGTGCTCTCAAGAAGTTTATTTCTAGAAACAAACTCCAAAGGCTGATCTTTTTAAAACAGAATCAGAGGCTCCACCTTTTGTAAAAAAAGACCTTAAGTCTAACCTTGCGGATTTGTTGGACGCAGATTTGAAAATTAGGCTGTGTGTTTTGTCCTTACAAATAACCCCCTCTGATTGACAGTGTTAATGTGATGGATGGTGTGGTGGTACTTTTTTTTTTGTAAGTTGTTCAATAACTCTTTCAGTACCAAGACTATATAGGGTCAGATAATGGGATGAATTTCAAGGGATTCAGAAGGAAGCTACCATGGCGTAACTGAAGTGGTACCCCAGCTTTTTCATAAAGGGACTGAGGAAAACCATGCAAAACCTCAATCGGGATGGCCAGTGTCCAGGCCAAGATTTGAGGAAGGCACTGAAAAGAAGCCTGCAGCATTACGTCAGGAATGAACTGTTAACTGGCCATGGTGGGGAAGTTTTGAAGTCACTTGGGTTTCATTGTAGTACATAAGTACCAGTATGCGTTGAAAAAGGTTTAAATGAAATAAAACATAGTCTAAAAGTGTTATTTTATATTTATATAAATATATATAATTTATATATATATTATATATATTTATAATCTGAGTGTGCACAGAAGACATGCAATTCACATATGGTTGTTGTGAATAAGATTTTGTTACTGGCTCCTGTGAAAGGGATGTCAGTCCAGTAGACTGTCTTTTATGCACACATCACATGGTCTAAGCTTATAATAGTATGGGTGCAGCTTATATTCTAGAACTTCACCAATCTGGAAAAAAGAAATCGGTGAAGGTGACTATAGCATATGTTTCTTATAGGTGCAGTTCCCATAGCAACACTCAATCTTCAGAATGGTGTTGCACCAGGAAATCCAGTGCCTGATGCTTGGCATCACCAAATGGTATTTGGTGTTGGTCCCCGGGGGATCTATCTTACAAATCCTGTCGAATGTGTGAGTGAAATAGCGCTATGGGCCCAGCTCTGTAGTCCTTCGGTGCTGATGGTACGCCGGAATGATGTTGTGGCTAGGTGGAACGAGCAGACCAATCTGCGGCCTCTCATGACACATCCTGACCATCGTTGGAAGAAGATGAATGTGCTTGGTATGTTAGTGGATGTGAATGAAGTGCATTGTGGTTTATTTTACTGATGTCATTGGTATCTGAATTGTATAGTGTTGAATGATAGGATGATTGATGAATGATGAGTTGCAATTGAAACAGTCGAGGACTAATTGAGGTACTATCCAAAACTTTGCTTGGAGGGACTGGGGAGAATCACAAAAACCTCAGTCAGGATAGCCAGTGTTCTGNGAAAACCTTTAGTGAACCGACACTCTCGGCAATTTTAACTATTGTAATTATTTTAATTAACTGGAACGTGGCTATTTTTAACAAAGTGAAGTTTTGTGTGTTGGTGATTTCTTTTTCTACTATAAATGCCTCTGATGATGGCTCCGTGGTGAGCCGAAACATGTAAGGCAGGTGGTGACGAGGTGGAAAACTTATAAAAGTGTCACATTTGACGGAAGGAACTTGATTGTTAATTTGTTAGTGTGACGGACCAGAATGAAAGACCTTAAAAAAAAAATTCCATTACTTTTGTTATAAAATCAACAGTGGGACATCTAATAACAGAGTATTGATCATTTAAACTATTAAAAATATTGAAAGTAAGTAAGTTAATTAATAGGAAGAATGTTGTCTTCTGGGATTTGGCGCCGTGTAGATATTGTGTTAACTGATGTTTCGGAGGAACGTAGTGCCTCCATCTTCAAGGTAGAAGAAATCTGCGAGCGATGAGCCAGTGTGAGCAGCTGGCTGCAGCTGGTTAACGTCGGTTAACACAAGATCTACACAGCGCCTCATCCCGGAAGACAGCATTCTTCCTAGTCACCGCCGCGAAAACCTCAAATCTTGCAAGTTACTTAATCACTTGCCACGGAGTGTTAAAAGAGACATGATTCAAGCCACCCAAGCATTTATAACACGATATAAGTCATAAATTTGAGTTTTGAGTCATAGGTCCAAAAATTTGGGTATTAATTTTATTGGGATAGTATGTCAAGAAGTTGTAGGTTGAGGTATGACTAATTTACTGTGATCATAAGTCAGGCGTAGGTTGAGGCACAAGCGTGTCCCCCAAAATATGAGTCATTCACCTACTTGGTTTATTTTTAGAATGTAACTTCTTGTTAAGTACAGGACTCTTACTGTAGGCACCACATCTGTTCTATATTATTAAACTTTCATGAACAGCATCTAGTCCTGGCAGGAAGTAGATTAACACATTGAAATTTGCACTTTGCAGGTCAGGTGGTGAATGTTATAAGGGAATCCACATGCGCACGTGCACAGATACAGGGTTGGGTTGTGACACAGCACGTGACTATTCCAGCAGAATATAGTTCAGGCATCACTCTTGTCATCAGGCGAGAATCTCCAGCCTATGCGGAACTGCGAGACGCACCAGAATTGCCACTCCTACAGCAGCAGCAACAATAATAGTGGTTGTCCTCGTCATAGCACTTACCAGGAGCTTGATGTAATGAACTCTTTTGTAACTGCCCCTCCAATCATATCCATGCACTTCTTTATGGAGTATAAGTAATGCCAACATTGAAGCTAAGGGGGAGAATCTAAGGCCTATATCGTTGTTCTTATGTTCTCCCTTGGCACCATTCTTTCTTTGCACATTCAGGCAGTTATGAATTAGTTTAATATTTCTGTAAATATTGAGTTTCCATTTACATGATTTTGACTTATCGTTTGATGTCATGTCCAAGTGCATTGCTTATCTGCAAAAATAAAAGTGTACACAGAAAACTTTGGATAAATTAAGTACTCTTTGTTCTCTCTGCATAATTATTTTAAGTTTGTTTGATGCCAGTTTTTGGAATTTATTGGAAATGTAGCAGTTGGTTGATATGTTTTATACTGTGACTCAGACTTTTTGTCTCATGCAAGATGGATTCCTGTAGTGAAGTCTAGACTGCAAATCTCATCCTGAAATATAAAATGGAAGAAGGCAGGGTAGACAATTTATCAGTAACGTATAAACCCATAGAATGAAACCTGGTAAGTAATTGTGAAGTTACATGAAAGAAGAGTGATGACTGTTACTAAGAACTGATATGAATGCTGTTATGTTCAGGCTCATTTACTCATAAAGTAGTTTTTCTCATTTGTAGAATATATGTAAGAAATATTTAAGCAAAATTTTATTTTTATTTTCACAGTTTTGCTATAATTGTGCACCAGTTTTGTGTTAAAACTGCATATTTTTGTACCGGATTTTTTTTGGTCACTTTGAAGCTTTCATATGGCTGTCTTCTGCTAGTTATGGGACAGACTGCAGCAAAATCTTGAATATATAATTTTTTTCATTGTGAATATAAAAAAAACATTATGGTCTCGTGGGATGTGATCCCCTGTAGTCTGGTAGATTGGTACCAAAGTTTTTGAGGACCCTGCCGCCACTTTGTTCCTTTGCATTCTCCGTTCAGTCTTTGGCAATATGAGTTTGCAATTTTCATATGTACGGGATTTGTAGTACTCTAGGACCCTATTAATTTAATTCTGTATGTCTGTATTAGTATTAGGGTAAACTTATTTTTGGACTTCTTCCCTTTGTTTTTTCATATACAGTATTTACGTTTTTCAGACCTGGACATCTCCCAGCAGACGTATGGAATGTTGATGAAGTTTGCGTTCATATTTGGAAATTTTGAGGGCTGTAATTCTTTTGAAGATCAGTCATATTATCGGTTCTTTTCACGACAGATGTGTTTAGGAATGTTAACAATAGAGAGTGGATTTTAATTTAGTGCTGCTTAGAGGTGCTGCTAANAAGACTGCTTTCTTCATAGTCACCGCCGTGAAAGCCTCAAATCTTACAAAGATTATAATGATGATGGATATTTCTCTCTCTGATTTCAAATTAATAAAGTTATACAGCATGAACATCTCCTCATCTGGTGCTCTTTTGTTAATGTAATATTTTTAATACATACAAGAATGAAAATGGATTCTTAACCCTGTAATTAAGGCATGTTGTAACTCCCCTTGCTTCATCTGTAATCACCAGAAGCAGTGTGCATTACTCATTTATATTTCCTTCCATCTTTTTTCATAAAATATGCAGGATACTCACTTTGCCTGATCTATCACATTGAAGGAAGAACACAGATTAAGGGTTGTATTCAGATCTGTGAGAAAGGAAGTTACAGGAGGCTGAAGAAAACTGCGTAGTAGAACTTTGTAATTTGTGTTTCTCACCAAAATATTTGAATGATCAAATCAGGGATAAGATGGGAGTGAAAGCGAATGCTTACTAAGTTTTTGGAGGAAAAGCTCAATGAAGGAGATCACTAGGGAATCCTAGGCATAGATGGTAGGATAACATTAAAGAGTTTGGGTGGGGGAGAGTGGACTCGATTCATCTGGCACGGGATAGGAATTGGTGGCAGGCTCTTCTGAACAGAATAATCAGCTTGGGTTCCATGAAGCATAAGAATTTCATTAGCTCAGTAATGATTAGTTTCTCAAGAAGGAGTTTGCTGCATGGAGTTGGCTAGGAATTTTTATGTTTCTATCATTTTGTAATTTGCATGAAATTTCTTTTGTCAAACATGTAACATTCAGTTTTATGTGCATGGGCATCACCAGCCAAAAAAATTTGCCTGTAAACTTATGTTTAAACCAATTAACAACATTTTTATGGATAACTGTAGAGTATGAAGAAAGTTGTCTTCTGGGTTTAGGCACCGTGTATTCTTCGTTTTGGCCGACGTTTCGGAGGAACGTAGCGCCTCCATCTTCAGAGCAGTTGAATAGCTGCGGAGAGCAGTAGCTGTGGTTATAGGATGGGGAAGGTGCTGCTTATATACGAAATAGGCGGGGGGGGGTGGTTAGGGAGAACGGACCAATGGGAGCAGTGGAGAGCGATTAAGGCCATATATGGTGTGTGACTAAGGGAGAGGGGGAACGGCCAGTGAGTACAGGAAACTTGAGGTCAATAGCACTAGGAAGTGCGGTAGTCAAGAAAAACCGGTAGGTTGAGGACAGGCTATTGACGTCAATGACATGACGAAGAACTGGTGTGGCTAGTAGGATTCTCTTAGGGAAAGGATGTTTCACGTCTGTCGAGATTGTTGAGAGCGATAAAGACCATATGATGTGTACTAAATAGGGGGGGGGGACGGCCAGTAAATCCAGGAACTTGAGGTCAATAGCACTAGGAAGTGCGGTAGGCAAGAAGAACTAGTTGGTTGGGGACAGGCTACTGACGTCAATGACATGATACCGGGGGACAGGCTACTGACGTCAATGACATGGCGAAGAATTGGAGTGGCTTGTTGTATTTCTCTTGAGGCAAGAGATGAGTGGCTTCCATGACTTGTTGAGACTGAACCCTGTTTCCTTGTTCATGTTGTTCGGATGGAGCTCAATCTCAACGGCCTCCAGGATTATGCGATCTAGATAACGGCTCTTACTGGTGATTATGGCCGTTTTGTGAAACTCGATACGGTGGTCTAGATCGATGCTGTGTTCAGCTACGGCTGACTTGTCCGGATGTTCTAATCGTATATGCCGTTGATGTTCTTTCAACCTCGTGTCCACAGAACGGCCCGTCTGCCCGATGTAGACCTTGCCGCACTCACATGGAATTCTGTAAATTCCCGGTGTCCTCAGTCCCAGGTGATCTTTGACAGGCCGGAGAAAATTAGATATTTTCTTTGGGGGCAGGCCAACTGATTTGATGTTATGTCGGGACAGTACTCTGCTGATCCTGTTGAATATAGTCCCGACAAAAGGCAAGAAGGCGACAGTTCCTCTGCGGTCATCAGGTTGAATGCTGTTGGGTTGGCGGTTGAGGGCCCTCTGGATCTGCCGGTCGTTATAGCCATTGCGCTTGAAGATGTTCTTAAGGAACTCCAACTCTGCACGTAGACTCTCTTGATCGCACAGAGCTCTGGCCCTATGTACCAGTGTGGACAGAGCTGCCTGTTTACTGGAAGGGTGATGATGGGACTTGGCGTTAAGATACAGGTTTGTGTGTGTGGGTTTGCGGTATACTGTATGGCCTAGAGAGCCGTCGGGTCTCTTGTAAATATCTATGTCTAGGAAGGGGAGGTGGCCTTCACTTTCGGTTTCCATGGTGAACTGAATGCATGGGTTGATACTGTTTAAGTGGTTCAGGAAACCCTTCAGGTTGTCAGGTCCGTGGGGCCAGATGACGAAGGTGTCGTCCACATATCGAAACCAGCAACGGGGCTTGAGTGGGGCCAAATCCAGCGCTCTCTCCTCGAAGTATTTCATGTAGAAGTTGGCGATGACTGGAGATAGTGGAGAGCCCATGGCTACACCGTCAGTCTGTTCGTAGAACTGGCCATTGAAGCTGAAGTAGGATGTGGTTAGGACATGGCGAAACAGTCTCAAAACATCTTCGGCGAAGTTTCCTTCTAGTAGATCCATAGTGTCCTTGATAGGCACTTTGGTGAAAAGCGATACCACATCGAAGCTAACCATCATATCACAAGGGTTCAACCGGAGGGATTTTATGGTGTGGACAAATTCGGCAGAGTTTCTCACGTGGTGTGGGGAGTCACAGGTGAAGGAGTTAAGTAGGGAAGCCAAATGTTTGGCCAATCGATAGGTGGGGGAGCCAATGGTGCTGATAATAGGTCTTAATGGTACGTCAGGTTTGTGTATTTTGGGCAACCCATAGAGTCTTGGTGTTCTGGAACATTGTGGTCGTAGTTGTTGGCAGATCTCTTCAGGGAACGGGGACTTCTTTAGGAGAAGCAACGTCTTGCGCTCTATGGAGTCAGTGGGATCCTTTTTCAGCTTCCTGTAGGTCTTGTCCTCTAGGAGGGCAGCAATCTTCTGGTTGTAGTCAGAAGTAGCCAAAACCACGGCAGCATTACCTTTGTCGGCCGGAAGCACCGTGAGCGTCTCGTTGGATTTTAAGGCTCGGAGAGCTCTTCTCTCGGCACCAGTGAGGTTGTCCTTGGGTTTGTTTGAGCCCTTGAGGATCCTGACTGTCTCCTGTCGAATCTCCTCTGCAGTCTCTTCCGGTAGGACCATTACAGCCTTTTCAACCCCACACAGGATGTCCTTCACTGGGATAGAACTAGGGGCTACAGCAAAGTTCAGGCCCTTACTCAGAGCAGAGTAAGCCGCTTCTTCCAAGGGCACACCACTTAGATTGACCACAGTCTTCTTGTTTTCATGAAGTTGGGGTGGATGTTGTGTCTTCTGCAAGTTGATGAACTTCTTGCACTGTCTGGCTCTCGCTTGGTCACCGATATTAACCGCTTTCTGGGTTGTGATGCGGTCGATTAGGTCCCAATCATCTGCGGACAGGACACGGGCTACGAGAAGATGCAGTTTAATCAGCTCTCTTGAGACAGCGTCCAGTTCTCGCCTTGTTTGGTGGATGCGTTCACGTAGCATAGAAAAGCTGGTGCGTCTGTAGATCCTTTTGGCAGCATCAGAGAATATGTGGTGTTCGAACTGAAGGAAATGAGGTATGATGCCATGGTCTCTGCATCTAAGGAGGAAGGGAAGGTTGCACAGTAGCTTGGACTTCTTGGTACGCAGCGTCTCGAGTCTACGAATGTGTCGATGGATAGCCTCCCCATAGAGGAATACTATGTAACCTGTAACCTGTATCTCAATGCCAAGTCCCATCATCACCCTTCCAGTAAACAGGCAGCTCTGTCCACACTGGTACATAGGGCCAGAGCTCTGTGCGATCAAGAGAGTCTGCGTGCGGAGTTGGAGTTCCTGAAGGACATCTTCAAGCGCAATGGCTATAATGACCGGCAGATCCAGAGGGCCCTCAACCGCCAACCCAACAGCAATCAACCTGATGACCGCAGAGGAACTGTCGCCTTCTTGCCCTTTGTCGGGACTATATTCAACAGGATCAGCAGAGTACTGTCCCG